AAGGAGAGGCACGAGGGTCTGTAACAAGAGAGGCGAGAACACGAGAGAGAGTGGGGCGGTACGTGCGGTAGTAGTCAGTGACCGGAGTGGACAGGGAGGCAGTGAGGGAAGACTCAGGAGGACGAGGAAGGACAGACGGAGGAGAACGAGGAGGACGAGGACGAAACAACACGGTACGGAGGTCAGTGACAGGGGACGAGGGACGAGCACGAGGAGGGCGAGAGGCCCAAGTGTGGGCGAGAGGAGGGGGGGACGGAGGAGACTGAGAACGAGGGAAGACAGCCGGAGTGGAGTCCGGAGGAGGAAACGTGGGACCGAACACAGGAGGAGAGGAGGGGAGACCAAGGGCCCGAAGGCCAGAAACAGGGGCCGGAGGCTGCTCCGGCAGCTGCGGCGGCTGCTGCTGCTGCTGCTGCTGCTGTGGCTGTGGCTGCGGCTGCTGCTGCTGCTGCTGCTGCTGCTGAAACTCCAACCGCTCACGCTCCACCCGCTGCTGAACCTCCGACCTCTGACGCTCCAAACGCTGCTGCTCCTCACGCTCTAGAAGACGAAGGGCCTGGTAACGAGTCGGGTAGGGGTGAGGAGGAGGAGTGGTGTCAGGAGACGACGAAGAAGAACCGGCTCCACCCTCGACAGGACCCGGCTGAGCACCCCCAGAGCGAGGACCCCCTGCGGCAGCACGACCAGTACCTGTAGGAGGTGTACCCGCACCCCCAGTCGTGGCGCCGCCAGTGGCACCAGCACCAACCCTAGACTCTCCAGCTCCAGAAACACTACCAGCTCCAGCACCACCACCGACTCCAACACGCTCGGGACGTGCAGCTGCGGCAGGTGCACGCTCAGCTCCAACTCCAACACCCCCAGAACCGGCACCGCCAGAGCCCTCACCTTGAGCACCAACACCCTCAGAGTCCGCAGTGGCCGGGAGAGGAAGCGCCGACGGCTGCTGCGGAGGCTGTGAGGACGACTGTGGGGAAGGAGGAGAGACCTGGGGGGGGACCAAGGGAGGGGGGGTAGCCTGCGACACACCTGACGGAGCGGGAACCGGGGGGGGTACCGGAGGAGAGGGAGCGGGAGGAGGAGGAGCTGGGGCGAGGAAGAGGGGAGGGGGGGGAACCGGGAGACCTCGACAGGGGTACCGGACGTAGTAGGGGACGGACTCGTCGAAACTGACGTCACGAGAGTCAAAGAACCGGTGGGAGGGAGGGTGGTAAAAGGTGAAGTCGGAGGAGGCCTCAGGGAAACCAAGGAAGACACAGGGGACGCCGCGAGGTGAGAGCTTGTCCGCAGAGGTGTCGCGGACAAGCGCCAAGCAGCCCCAGACACTAAACCTCGACGCAACACCAGGGGACCCTGTCCAAAGACTGGTCGGTGAAGCCCCTGGCCGAGAGACGCGAGGCCAGAGGTTCAGCTGGTGAGCGGCGTACCGAGCCGCGTAGGGCCACAGAAAATGGGGCGCGCGGGCGTGGATCATGGAGGTGCGGGCAATCTCCATGACCAGGCCTAGCCGGCGCTCAGCAACCCCATTCTGCTGTGGAGAGTCTGGAAGAGTCTAGGACTGGGTGATGCCCTGCTCAGCACAGAATCTGGCGAGAATGCCGGAGCAAAACTCACCCCCACGGTCGGAGTGGAGACAACTGACACGACGACGACGAGTACTCTCCGTGGCGAGCAGCCACCGGATCAGCGTAGAAGTCACGTCGGACTTCTTCGCCAAAGGGAACACGGTGGTGTACCGAGAGTAGTCGTCAACGACCACTAGGAAGAAGCTCTCTCGCTCAGGTCCAAGCCGGGGAGCGGGGCCCCAGACGTCTAAGTGGAGTGTCTCAAAGGGCTCGGAGGCTGGACGAAGGGAGGAGGAGTGAGGAGTGGCGCGCAACCGACCCTGGACACAAGGACCGCACGGAGGAGCGGGGGACGGCGGGAGCGGCGGGAGGTCGTGGGGGAGGCCTAAGACAAGACGCTGACTGGACATAGCGCGGAGATGAGAGAGGGACGGGTGACCAAGGCGGTGGTGCCAGAGGAGGGCAGGGTGGGACAGCGACCGACACGAGCACGACGCAGCCACTAGACCTGGCACAGCTACCTGACTGGACCTGGCTACCTGGTGGGACGGGGGAACCGGACGGGTATCGGTGTGGAGGGTGTACAGACCAGAGCCCGGCTCCTGACGAAAAGTGGCCAGAGGGGCGTACGTGTCACCGTCCACACAGACTGCAGTGTCACCCGAAGGCTCAAACCAGACCCCGACGTGCTGTCTCGCCAGAGGAGCCACACCAACCAGGTTCCTAGAGAAAGTAGGAACGTGGAGGCCGGTCAGAGAACCGGAAGGGGCAGCTGGGCACGGGAGGGTAGTGGCGTGAGTCGCAATGACCGGTCCCAAAGAGGGATCGGCCAGTGCTACAGAAACCGGCGCCGAGAGTGGAGTAAGAGTCGTGCTGTCGCGGAAGAAGCACTGCGTCGCTCCGGAGTCCAGTGTGAAGGAGAGCGACGCGTCCGCCGAGGGAGCACCTGTACTAGTAGCTAGACAGGATCCTACACCAGCACCTACTCTAGCAACAGGCAAAGATCCTACGCTAGGTACAGGCAAGTAAACAGATCCGACAGCACTGTAGTCAACATCAGCATACATGGCATAAGACCTAGCATCATCCATAGACATATCAAACACAGCAACACCACGAGCAAGGAGTGGTCCCCAGCGCGGTGGCGGGGGAGCGGAGGGACCGTGGTGCAGGACGTACAGGTCGTCAAGACGGCTGAAGCAGCGTGCAACAGAGTGGTCAGGGCGGCCGCAGTACGTGCCCCTGCGCGGACCCGTCAGGATCCAGTACTCACAGGGACCAACGTCGCGGCCAGCCGAGCGGGGTCCCCGACTAGAAGGGGCACCACTGCGCCCAGTGCTCGGGGGGCCCGTAGGTCTCCACTGCTGCGGGGGGGCCCACTGCTGCGAAGGGCCCCACTGCTGCTTAGTGCCCCACTGCTGCAGAGTGCCCCACTGCTGGGGCTGCTGCTGAGGCGGACGCTGCTGTTGGCCCTGGTGCTGCTACTGCTGTCCCTGCCGCTGCTGCTGTCCAGGCGGTGGCAGCTGCGGAGGAGTCTGCTGCTGCTGCTGCGAAAACCCCTCACCACCGTCTAGAGGAGAGCCGTCAGGTCCCGAGTCACCCCCGCCGCCACCCCCGCCACTAGTACTACCGCCACCGCCGCCACCCGCAACACCCCCAGAACCCCCGCCGCCCTTCCCTCCCTTCTTGCCGGACTTGCCACGTTTCTGTCCGCCAGAGACAGAAACGGCCGCCGTCTCCTCAGAGGCAGAAGACGCGGCAGTGGCAAGCGAGGCAGTGAAGGTGGGAAGCTGTGGTACCGCACACCCCTCAAAGAGACGAGGAAGAGGCGCGGAAGAGGCGGAGGCAACAGCGAGGAGGTTACTCTCGATCTTCGAGAGAGCGGTCTCAAGAAGATCGATAGTAAGCTCAGTGGGGTGCTTCAGGAGAAGCGCGTCGCGGGCTGTGGCTAGACGGTCAGGGAGGCGAGTGACTAACCAGTGAATAGTGAGCCACATGGGGGGGGGTGCAAGGGCAAGCTGTTCCTCAGTGCAAGCGGCCTTGAAGCGAGCTTCAAGGGAGCGCAGGTGGGTAGCGAGGTCAGCGACAATCTCAAAGGAGGCGAGGTCAGGGTAGATAAAGGGGACGAGGAGGCGGCTGAGGGAGGCAGAGGAGGGAGTGGAGTAGCGAGCAACAATAGCAGTGTAAAGGTCTGCAGCAGACTCGACCTGAGTGAAGTGGACAGCCTCAGTTGGCGGGAGAAGGTCGGTCAGGGCGAGGCAGGCAGCAGCGTCACGAGACTCCCACACGTCACGAGCGAGGAACCGGCGCTAGCACTCAGCCTCCTGCTCGGAAGTAGGCGGTGGGGAAGTGGGCAGCGGTGAAGGCTGCGGCGGGGCGGGCAGAGCACCGGACGCATGCGCAAACAGGTGCACGCCATCCTGGCGCTGGCTCCTAAGGTGGCGCTGGGCCTGCGTCAGCCAGGTACTAAAGTCGATCGCACGCCCCTCAGGGTCGAAACGGAGCACGCGAGACGTCGCCATGAGGGGCGAGGACAAGTGATAGCGGCCGCCAGCCGCGAGAGGAGGAGGAGAGGGAGGTGAGTGCGAGGCGGGTGCGCGCAGGCGGGGCGCGCACTGGCTGGGCGCGGGGCGGCGGGGCGCGCGCTGGCGGGGCGCGCTCCGGCGCAGCGCGCTGGCTGGCGTGGCGCGCGGGCGCAGCGCGCTGGCGGGCGGCTAAGCAGGGCGCGCGCTGGCGGGCGCGGCGCGCTGGCGTGCGCGCTGGCGGGGCCCGCTGGCGTGGCGCGCTGGCGGGCGCGCTAGCGGGCGCGCTGGCGTGCGTGCTGGCGGGCGCGCTGGCGAGCTCGCTGGCGGGCGCGCTGGCGGGCTGGCTGGCTGGCTGGCGCGCTGGCGGGCTGGCGCGCTGGCTGGCTGGCGCGCTGGCTGCTGGCGCGCTGGCTGGCTGGCTGGCGCGCAGGCTGCTGGCGCGCTGGCTGGCTGGCGGGCGCACTGGCTAAGGGCGGGGAGGGGAGGGGCGCGCCGGCTGGGGCGTGGGGTAGGGCACTGGCGGGCTGGTAGGGCGCAGTGGTAACCCTAGTGGTAGGGAAGGGCGGGCCTAGGACTAGGAGCGCTAACCTACTGCTGATACCATGTCAGAATGAGAACTACAGCGGAATGCGTTGTATTGACAGAATTGGGGTACATAACCTAACCCTAACTAGTTGTACCCCATATAGCCCAACCCACTACAGGCTATAATATTTGACAACAATGTATGTCTTCGGCAAGAAAAGTGTGACCTACAAGCCTTTTACGATACGGTAGTAGAACAACATATTCTAGAAGTGATTTTTTCGCTTTATTGCTGAAATTCAGCATATTATAAGAAACCAGAGGAGGACCCCTCAAACTGGACCCGTGTATTGCAGCATTATAAGCCTTGAAACCTTCTTCATGCTTACGACCCAGTTCCTCCCCTAAAGAAACGACCAAATGGATTAAACCTGCCGATCCCCTGCTGCTGCTCTCTCTCACGAGCAGCCCTCAGCCTCTCCTCCCGTTTGTTCTGTAACTCCTCTGTCTGCTCCCTCAACCGCTCCTTACCCCCTTTTCCATGCCCTCGCCCCCCACGCATCTCCCCCCTCCCTCTCGCAGCAGCGGAGCGCGGTGCTGACGTGGCGTGAAGACGCTTTAGCCGGCACAACTCGTCTTGTTGTTGCTGTTTCCTGGATGCTTCTAGTGTGAGAAGCTGCACAGAGAGAGGAGGGAGAAGGAGACAGGGCACATTCCAAGGGGTTCAAATGGGTCAGCATAGAGTCGTTGGGAAAAGAAATGCAAACAGGAGGAGATTAGGGAAGAGACAACAGGGAAAAGAAGATGGCAAGCTGCAATGACATGCCGCCCACTCATGCTTAGCTGGCATGAAGACATGCCGTGCCGCCCACACATGCTTAGCTGGCACGAAGACATGCTGTGCAGCCCACACATGCTTAGCTGGCATGATGACATGCCACACACACATGCTTAGCACGAGTGCATGCATGCATATTCAAGCACACATCACTGCCAATGCCACTAACGCTCACCCTTGCGCTTATCGAGGATGACGATACAGAGAATAAGGCAGCGGGGCTCCCACCAGCTACAGTCAATGGTGGTGTTACAGACGCCCCTCCTGTCCCTATCCTCCCTCCATCCCTCTCCTCTGGTACCTCCAGAAGAGAAGCAGCCAACCCACTGGCCCCACCCACTGCCAGAGCACCAGAAGAGGCAGCATGCGCAGCAGAAGCTGCGGCATTAGCAGCAGGAGGAGCAGCAGCAGAGGAGAGGTGCGAGGGGACAAGGCGGGTGGGAGAGGCACCACAGTCGGGGCACTCATGGGGAGGTGGAAAGAAGAAGCTGTCTCGGTGGCGCCGCTGCAAGCACTCCCTGTGAAACCCATGCCCACACAGACACACCTCCACTGGTAATCTCTTTCCTGCTGCTGCCGCTGCTGCTGCTGCTGCGGCTGCTGCTGTGGCTGGCAATCGTAGCAGCAGGGATGGTGGTGGTGCTGCTGCTGCTCCCTTAGCTGTTGACGCTGGGGCGTACAGAGCAGTGGAGCAGAGGCGGCAGGAGCGGGAGGAGGGGCGGGTGGGGTGCTGCAGGAGAGAGAGCAGGGAGGTGCAGTGGGAGAACGAATCTGTATTGGCTGCCCGGGCAGCAGCAGCAAATAGCTGCTCATCCGACCCTGCCCGACCTAAAATTTCCAGCAGCCCTCCCACCACATCCCCTGCAGTCCTTGCTGCACCCTCCTTCTGAGCATTCTCCGTCATTGCACTCTGAATGAGATCTCTTCCCCCTTCCCCGTCTCTCTGCCTCTCGCCTGAACCAAGCAGCCAGGCAGCAATGACTGGCAGAGGCACCATCCCTGCCATCTCTGCTACAGTGGCCGTCGCACAGCATTGTAGCAGGAACCGGACGGCAAACAGAATCAGATCGCAGGCTTGCGGGTGGTTTTCCTGCCGCCACCACCGCTTTTCTTGCTGCTGCTGCTGCTGCTGCTGCTGCTGCTGCTGCTGCTGCTGCTGCTGCTGCTGCTGCTGCTGCTGCTGCTGCTGCTGCTGCTGCTGCTGCTGCTGCTGCTGTTGCTGTTTCGCTTGCTCTTGAGCCTGCTCCTCATCCCCACTTCTTTCCCGTTGCTGCTGCTCCCGAAGCAGCACAAGCGCGTGACAACAGGAGGCGAAAAGCGGGGGTGGAGGAGGAGGGAAGACCGAAGGCGGCAGAGATGGGGCCGGAAACGAGCTCAGTGCAGACGGAGCAACCCCCTGCTGACCGTTTTCACCTGAGAAATCACCTGAGGAATCACCTGCTCGGGACTGCACCCCGGTCCTGCCTGTGGCTGCTGTGCCGGACGCCCCTGTGACTGTAAGGAGGTGTGAGTAGAGCGAGTGCCAGCGGTTGGGGGGTGTGTGTGATGGGGAGGGGTGTAGTGGTGGGAAGGCTGGTGGTGCAGATGGGATGGGGAGGGCCCTGAGAGGGAGGAGAAAGCTGTTGGGGGGGAGGAAATGGGGGAAAAAGGGGGGGGGGAGGTGGGGGGGGGGCAGTGTGGGGAGGAGAAACGAGTAGAAAGGAAGAGGGTGGGGACGATGGTGAAGAGGAAGGGAACGGAATGGATGACGATATGTACAGACAGGGATGAATGGGGAGGGCCCTGAATTGGACCCTAAACCCTGATACGGGTCGACCGAACAGAAGTGCCCCCCCCATAACACACACACCGAACCCAAGTGCAAGTCAGGATATACACAAACAACCGCCCCTCCTCATGCCCCCCCCCCATAACACACACACCGACCCAACCACCCCCAATCCACCCCCAACCACCCCTGCCTCTCACTCTCAGATCAGTCACGACCCCTCTTCTCACTCTCCCATCCCTCACCCTCACACCCACCAGTCAAGGAGGGTGCGCCACATGGCGCGGCACTGCCAGTGGGGCAGGCAGCCTACCTGTGCTGCGCGCACAGATACCTGATGCTAGCATTCATCTCAGCACCACTACACAGCACCACCACACAGCACCACCACACAGCACCACCACACAGCACCACCACACAGCACCACTACACAGCACCACCACACAGCACCACCACACAGCACCACCACACAGCACCACCACACAGCACCACTACACAGCACCACCACACAGCACCACCACACAGCACCACCACACAGCACCACCACACAGCACCACCACACAGCACCACCACACAGCACCACTACACAGCACCACCACACAGCACCACCACACAGCACCACCACACAGCACCACCACACAGCACCACTACACAGCACCACTACACAGCACCACCACACAGCACCACCACACAGCACCACTACACAGCACCACCACACAGCACCACCACACAGCACCACTACACAGCACCACCACACAGCACCACCACACAGCACCACCACACAGCACCACCACACAGCACCACCACACAGCACCACCACACAGCACCACCACACAGCACCACCTAAACCGAATCATTCGTCTTCCCCACCCCCAACACTCACACACCCTCACACCCACCAGTCCAGCAGCGTTCGCCACATGGCGCGGCACTGCCAGTGGGGCAGCCTGCCTGTGCTGCGCGCACAGAGAGCTAATGCCTCGTGCTGTATGGCCAGCAGCACTCGCACCTGGGGGGGGAGAGATGGAAGACGGTTGGGGAAAGTCAAGACGGGATTGAGGTGAAATGAAAAGGGTGCTGCCAGTGGGGCAGCCTGCCCGTGCTGCGCGTACAGAGAGCCAGCTCCTCGTGCTGTATGGCCAGCAGCACTCGCACCTGGGGGGGGAGCAATGGGAGGAGAGAGTGGAGAAGCGCGAGGAGGGGCTTTTAAGTTGAGTCAAGAGAGGAAACAAGAAAGAAACATGATACGCAGGTTATGCAGACGACAAAGCGTGGCATGAACGGATGATTTTGATATGAATTAGCATGAAAGGTATGATTTTATGGAATACAAGTGACATAGGATATGAATGATGTGGCGTATGATGTTTGCAATGAAGCAAGGCATGAATGATATGCAGTGTGAATGAACATGAATGAGTGAATGATGAGAGAGATAGGATATGAATGTCTCTGTGTGTGATGTGTTACATGCGGATCTCTCACCTCTTCCATCTGCTGCATTCGTGTCATCTTTTGAGGCGCCTCAAAAGATCAAAACGGAGAGAAAAGAGGCGAATTATGCCTCAAGTGTGCAATAAACAATATTAATGAACAATGATAATGAACAATAATAATGACCAATAATCTCAAGTTTGAAGAACTCTATCTCACCTCGTCCATCTGCAGCACTCGTGTCATCAACCCCCCACTCTTCTTCCTCATCCGCTTCCTCCTCCTCTTCCCACCCTCCTTTCCTTGCTCCAGACCCGACCTTCCCTTCATGTCAGCCCTCATTTCGCCTCCACTTTCACCCTCTCCCCTCATCCCCGCCTCACTCTCGCCCGTCCTCCCAACCTCACTTTCAGGCCCCTCAGCAGTTGTCCCCGCTATAGACCTCTCCATCACCCCCAACCTCCTCTTGCTCCTCCTCATCATCATCCCAGCAACCCTCCTATCCAGGGCATGCAAGCAGCAGTGTAATTCCACCAGCAGCAGCGCCAGCGCCTCATGAACCAACCCCATTCGCTCTAGCAGCACCCGCGCCGCAGCGCTGATGTGGCAGTTCAGGACTGGCTCTCCCCCCACCTGCTGACGTGGCGCCTGCGGAGGCGCGCCCTGCTGCTGACCTGGCACGGGCTGACGTGGCAGCGCGGCGAGCGCCGGGGAGATGTGCGCGAGGCAGACGCGGAGGCAGCGGTCGAGGCGACAGGTGGCGAGAGGTGATTGGAGGAAGGGCAGCAGCGCGGGAGGGTCGTAGATACAGAGCAACTCGATATAAAGCTCGACCATTCGTGGGGATGCTGCTGCTGCTAGCTGCCTCCTCTGCTCCTCCCACCCCTCCATCCCCAACCCCTCATCTCCTCCTTTTCGTTCTAATCCCTCTTGCAGCGGTGCTGCAGCAGCAGCTGCTGTAACTTCCCCTGCTGCTGTATTTGGAACTGCTGATGCTGCGTTTGGGCCTGCTGATGCTGATACACCTGCCGGTGCTGGCAGCAACGGGAGCAGCAGCAGCGGAGGAGGAGGAGGAGGCGAATGGGAGAAGAAGAGGGCACGCAGCAGAGCAAACTGCAGCTGCGGCCGGCCGGCGAGATCGGCACTCACAATCAACTCCAAATCCAGCCGCAGCAGCCCCAGCGCCACATACAGACAAGTGCCACCGTCCAGCCGCACCAACTGGGCCAGGTGGCGCCGGACGGCCAATCGCAGCGCAGCACCCTCCTCCCCGCCCACCACCCCGTGCCTGCGGGTGAGGGCGAGGGCTGCCTTTTGGATGAGGCGAAAGGGCATGTCGGGGTGGTGGGCGTCTGTGAGGAGCGAGGAGAGCGCTTGGTGAATGCCGAGCATGCCGTGTGTTCGCATGAACAGACGCGCACACACCTGGTTGGGGAGATGGGGGCATGAAGGGAGAGGGGAATTTCCATGTGTGTAAGAGGGGACATGGAGAGAGGAGAGCGCTTGGTGAATGCCGAGCATGCCGTGTGTTCGCATGAATAGACGCGCACACACCTGGTTGGAAGGGGGGAGGAAGGGGGGGAGAGAGAGAAGGAGAGAGTTGTTGGGAGAACGCAGGAGTGAGAGTGGTGGTAAGCATCCTCTTCCTCTCCTCACACGAGGTGACTTTTGAGTCGACTCAAAGTCATTTTGAGTCGACACAAGAGTCAGAGTGGAAGCATCCTCTTCCTCTCCTCACACCAACCCGGCCCCATGCTTATGTGTGAAAGTGCAAGGGCTGCCTTAAGGATGAGCATTCCCACCCACCTGGTGAAAACCCGTTTGCAGCGCCAAGGGCAGGAGAGCATTGAAGTCCACACCACAGGAGTCCGGCAGAGCCATCACCAGCCCCTTCATCCGCTCCTCCCTCTGCCTCCAGTCTCCTTTGCCCTATCCCCATGCCCATCACGGGACAGCACAGCTCACCTGGTGGAAGCCGGCTTGAAGCGCCAAGGGCAGGAGAGCATTGAAGTCCACTCCGCAGGAGTCCAGCAGAGCCATCACCAGCCCCTTCATCCGCTCCTCCCTCCATCCCCTTCTTTTCGATCACTTTCTCACTCCCATTTTCTCTCGCCCACTCGCCCTCACCTGGTGGAAGCCTGCTTGCAGCGCCAGGGGCAGGAGAGCATTGAAGTCCACACCACAGGAGTCCGGCAGAGCCATCACCAGCCCCTCCATCCGCTCCTCCCTCTGAGCCCGCCTCACAGAGGGGGAGAGGAGAGCGAGAGCGGGGCGAGAGGCGGGTGACGAGGGGGAGGAGGAGGAATGCTGCTTCTGTACAGCTCCCTTGCTCGCAGCAGGAGCACCGGCACCACCAGCAATGGCATCAGCAGAAGTGGCAGCGGCAGTGGGCAGAGCGCGCAAATCAAATGTGACAGTAGCGGATGTGAGATAAACGAAGATGGTGTTGAGAGAAGTTCGGTCCAGCTCCACTCTCCCTGCTGCTGCCGCCTCTGCCACCAGCTCTAGCACCCAGCCTGCTGCATCCCCGAGCCTGTCTAAACACAAGCCTAGTCCCAGACCTAAATCCGAGGCTACATCCGAACGTGCTGCTGCTGGTGACGCTACAGCTACAGTGTCTTTTTCTCCCTTATTGGAGTCCTCGTTACTCCTTATTGCATCTGCCACCTCGCACCAGGAGCGCACTATTTCTAATAGAGTAAAAACAAGTCTACCACCAGCTGCTGGATCTACAGTAGCATCCTCGTTAGAAGCTGCACCCGCACCCCTATGATTCGTCGACGTCGAATCCGCACTCGTCTGCTGTTCTGTACTCGGTTGTGGCTGATCCAGTATGGACACAGAGCGGAGAATCACACGCAGTACCGAGAGGGTGGCGCGGTGATCGAAGGAGAGGAGGCGAGCGAGCGGCGAGCAGAGGAGGGCGTGGGAGGATGGGGAGAGAGAGGAGGGGCGTTGGTGGGGTGGGCGGTGGGGTTTGAGGAGAAAGTTTAGGAGTTCCGCTTGCGCTGAGGGCAGGAGGGACGGAGAGATGGCACCACTGCCTGTGAGGGTGCACAACGGTTGGGGAGGGGAAGAGGGGGGAAACTTTGAGTCGACCAAAAATCGTCTCGTCACACGAGGTTTGAGGAGGAAGTTGAGGAGTTCAGCTTGAGCTGAGGGCAGGAGGGACGGGGAGATGGCACCGCTGCCTGGGGGGATGAGAGCAACAGGAAGGGAGCGGGGGAGAGGGGAGGGGGGTGGGTAGAGGGAAGGTGGGGGGGAGGTGGGGGTGCTAAAAGTAGCAACACGAGGGAATGAGGACTGCGCAAGCAGGAAATTTCAGAGGATAGGGACAAGATGTAGGTGGATGGATGGGAGGGAAGGAAAGAAAAGGAAAGCAGGAAGGTGGATGGATGGGCGGGGCGGACAGGAGGAAGAGAAGAGTGCAACTACTTGGAGGAAAGGTGTAGAAGAGAAGGAGGAAAGGTGTAGAAGAGAAGGAGGAAAGGTGTAGAAGAGAAGGAGGAAAGGTGTAGAAGAGAAGGAGGAAAGGTGTAGAAGAGAAGGAGGAAAGGTGTAGAAGAGAAGGAGGAAAGGTGTAGAAGAGAAGGAGGAAAGGTGTAGCCGCAGTTACCTGGAGGGAAATTGAGGCCGGAAAAGGTGAGCTTGAGGAAGAGCAGCAGGCGGTAGCTGCGATGGGGTGAGGGAAAGAGAGGAAACGCACACAAGAGGGTTAGAACGCAGGGAAGAGGGAACTCGGAAGGGGGAGTTTGCAACGCGGAGTAGGGGGAGAGGTGTGCGGAACGATGGGCAACGGGTACGTGTGAGACTTCGCTCATTCAAACCTTCTCCACCCTTCCAATTATCAATAAGTCACGAGCTACTAACGGGAAGACCATCAAGAGGCACAGACCAACTCACCCGCACTGCCGACCCTCCTCCCTTTCCTCCTTTTTCTCCCCCTCCTCCTTCTTATGCCGCTGCTTCTCCCGACTCCTCTCCCCGAATCCAGTACTGGGAGCTGCGGAGGAGGAGGAGGCGAGGAGGGTGGAAAGCAGCTGCTGGGCTGGCGAGACGAAATCCGCAAGGGCCCGCGTGAAGAGGTAGATGAGGGCTGAGTGCAGGCTGTGCTGACGGCACAGACGCACCACCTGGGAGGGGATTGAAAATGGGGGGGAACAGGGGCGGAAGGAAAGGGAGAAAGGGCATGGAAGGGCCCGCGTGAAGAGGTAGATGAGGGCTGAATGCAGGCTGTGCTGACGACACAGACGCACCACCTGGGAGGGGATCGAAAATGGGGGGGAACAGGGGCGGAAGGAAAGGGAGAGAGGGCATGGAAGGGCCCGCGTGAAGAGGTAGATGAGGGCTGAATGCAGGCTGTGCTGACGACATAGACGCACCACCTGAGAGGAGGGGGTTAAAGATGGGAAGAAGGGGGGTGGAGAGAAAGGGAGAAGCAAACATAGGTGCAGGCTGTGTCGACGACATAGACGCACCACCTGAGAGGGGATAAAATATGAGGGGGGTTGAGGGAAGGGGACATGGAAGGGCGCGTGTGAAGAGGTAGATGAGGGCTAAGTGCAGTGTGTGTTGACGACACAGACGCACCTCCTGAGAGAAATGGAGACGGGAGATGTGAGGAAGAGGGGAGGGACAAGAGGAACAAGATGGTGCACGCATGAGTGAGACGAAGAGGTCGATTGGAGTATGACTAGAAACGAACAGTTGCTTCATTTCGCCCATCCAAGCTAACCTGGTTGATGTCGAGAGAGGCGATGCCCAACCACGCGCAGTGCAGCACGCATTGCTGCATTGCACACATGCATTGCTGCACTGCACACATGCATTGCTGCACTGCACACATGCATTGCTGCACTGCACACATGCATTGCTGCACTGCACACATGCATTGCTGCACTGCACACATGCATTGCTGCACTGCACACATGCATTGCTGCACTGCACACATGCATTGCTGCACTGCACACATGCATTGCTGCACTGCACACATGCATTGCTGCACTGCACACATGCATTGCTGCACTGCACACATGCATTGCTGCACTGCACACATGCATTGCTGCACTGCACACATGCATTGCTGCACTGCACACATGCATTGCTGCACTGCACACATGCATTGCTGCACTGCACACATGCATTGCTGCACTGCACACATGCATTGCTGCACTGCACACATGCATTGCTGCACTGCACACATGCATTGCTGCACTGCACACATGCATTGCTGCACTGCACACATGCATTGCTGCACTGCACACATGCATTGCTGCACTGCACACATGCATTGCTGCACTGCACTGCACACATGTTATATACAATTCTCAAAAGAGAATCGAAGGAGGAGTTCACACCCGGTTGATGTCAAGTGAGTTAATGTTCATGTGATTGAAGCGCTTCAAATTAAATCAAGAAAAGAGGTATCAGCGTGCCGTGCACGTGGCTGATATCGTGCAAAGAGAAGTGCAGGCAGGTTGAGTCCTCCCTTGGTTAATATCGCACGAAGCTGAGCAATCAAGTACCTGGCTGATGTCATGTCAAGTGCGGCGATGTCCATGTGGAGCACGCACTGCTGCACACTCATGATTGGAAGGGAGGCAGAGCAACAACGCTACCCTTGCAGAGAGAGATCAATCGCACACACCTGGTTGATATCGAGCGAGGTAATATCCATGTGGAGCACGCACTGCTGCACGCGATTGAGCGAGCTTGAGATGTATCAAAGGCGAATCAATCAAAGGAAGCTGGGTTCACACCTGGTTAATGTCCAGCGAGGAGATGTCCATGTGAAGCACGCACTGCTGCACGCGCGACAGCCACCCCCTCTCACTGTAATGCTCCACCAGCGCTTGCATCACCTGGTGGTGGGGGAGAGAGGGATGAAGGGGGAAGGAGAAGAGCGCACACACAGAGAGATAGAAATAAACCGTCTTACCCATCACGAGACAGCCACCCGCTCTCACTGTAACGCTCCACCAGCGCTTGCATCACCTGGTGGGGGGGGCTCGAAGGGGACAAGCGGCCACTTTCAAGGCGCCTTAAAAAACACAAGAGCGCATGAATGAGCTTCAAGCGCAGACCTCGCCTCATGTCTAGCGGCGCAGGTACATCTAGGCAGGTTTCAGCCTGGCGAAAAGGTTGCGAAAAGGCTGCGAAAAGGTTGCGAAAAGGTTGCGAAAAGGCTGCGAAAAGGCTGCGAAAAGGCTGCGAAAAGGTTGCGAAAAGGCTGCGAAAAGGTTGCGAAAAGGTTGCGAAAAGGCTGCGAAAAGGCTGCGAAAAGGTTGCGAAAAGGTTGCGAAAAGGCTGCGAAAAGGCTGCGAAAAGGTTGCGAAAAGGTGCGAAAAGGTTGCGAAAAGGTTGCGAAAAGGCTGCGAAAAGGCTGCGAAAAGGCTGCGAAAAGGTTGCGAAAAGGTTGCGAAAAGGTCGCGAAAAGGTTGCGAAAAGGTTGCGAAAAGGTTGCGAAAAGGTTGCGGAGGCGGTACATTCATCTGGCACAATCTCAACAATGACCGCAGGTGCGTCTAGGCAGGCAGGCGGTACCTCCGGAGGGAGCGTGCTGAGGTGGTCTGTGAGAATGTACGGCTCCAGCAGCTCCAGGAAGATGCCTGCACGCACACACCAGAGGCGGGCGGGGGAGCACGGGTGGGTGTGAGGAAGAAAAAGATGTGGGGTCTATCTATGCATGGGTGCACTCGCTTTTGAGTCGACTCAAAAGATATGCATGGGTGCACTCAAAAATCACCAGACAGACTATTGCATCCATCGAGTGATTTTTGAGAATTCTCAAAAATCACTCGCTATTGCACCCATGCATAGATGTCGGGCTCCAGCAGCTTCAGGGAGATGCTTGCAAGTGGGCACAGGGAGCAGAGGCAGGGCAGCGAGCGATGAGAGACAGATGTTCGTGCGGACATGACTAAGAAGTCACATCTGGCCCCTCAGGGTGAACTTGTCAAACACGGCCCCTAACAGCAACGATAGCTAGCTGGTGCACTCTCTGCAGCACCCTCATGCCCACCCCACCCAGACATCTGCCCCTTCTCACCACGTTACCCCTCTCACCTCGCTGCCCTCTCTGAGTGAACTTACTAAACACGGCCCCAAACAGCAGCAATGGCAGCTGGTGCACTCTCTGCAGCACCCTCATGCACAACCCACTTCGCATCCCCACCCACACATCTGCCCCTTCTCACTACGTTACTCCTCTCACCTCACTGCCCCCTCTCACCTCACTGCCCTCTGTGCGTGAACTTGTCAAACACGGCACCGAACAGCAGGGGCAGCTGGTGCACGCGGATACAGAACGTGATCGCCACCCCAACCGGCATCCCCGCACATCTGCCCCCTGAACCCCCCACCCCTCTCACTCACCTCGCTGCCCACGCTGGGTGAACTTGTCAAACACGGCCCCAAACAGCAGCGGCAGCTGGTGCACGCGGATGCAAAACTCTATCGCCACCCCGCCCACCCTTTGCTTCCCTGCCCTTGCCCCAATCCCTGCCCCTGCCCCTGCCCCAATCCCTCCCACCACCCAACCCCACCCATCTCACCTCGCTGCCCTCTCTGGGTGAACTTGTCAAACACGGCACCGAACAGCAGGGGCAGCTGGTGCACGCGGATGCAGAACTCGATTGCCACCCCGCCCACCCGCACATACTCCTCCCTCTGCTCCTCTCCCGCCGCCTCTGCTGCTGCTGCCACTGCCGCTGCTGCTGCTACTGCTGCTGCCGCCGCTGATGCTGCTGTGGCTGAACCGGAGGAGCTTGGGTGGCGGGGTGACGATTCAGGACTGGCATTCACAGGACTGAGCGCTACCGGGCTAAGTACCGCTGGGCTAAGTGTTTTTGGGGTAAGCGCTGCCGCGCTCTGCTTTAAGTACGAGAAAACCTGCTCTATGTATGCTAATAGGAGAGCCCCCATTTCGGCTGCTAGCTCCTCCGGGTCGCATGGTAACCCTGTTACGCCCACCGCCCTCCCTTGGTAAATCTCCATTGCAGTGTGCAGCGCATTCATCCAGTCGCCGGCCGCTTCCAGAGATTTGATTCTCTCCTTCCAGGAGAGTAAGTGCGCCCGCACCACCATGCCGCCCCCCTGCAAGAGGACAAACACCGCCGCCCCGCTGCTCCAGGCGGCGGCGCTGTTCTGGAACGAGGGGATCGGGCGGCCGCTACGAGACAAAAAGGGGTGGAAGACAAGGCCGAAACGGCCGTGGCCGGCGGCACTGTAGCTGCTGTAATCTGAGTCGGAGTCGTAGTGTAGCAAGGGCTGGCGCTTGATTGGCTGGCCGCCCAGCGAGAAAAGACAAAAGTGCTCCGAAGCTGTGAGGATGAGGAGAACCTGATGTGGGGCGAGAGCAGGAAGAAAGGGCAGCGGGAGGTAGTTAGGGGAGTATGGAAGGGTTAGGTAGTGGAGGAGGGATGAAGATGGAGAAAAGACGGAATGCTGCACGCAAGGACAGTAGAAACATGGGGCCAAGTGACTAGGTCTATGCTTCACCACATGCCCCAGGAGCTAGGTCTTCCCACTACGAGCTTTCCCACAACCCATGCCTTGCCTGCAGCCAAGCCTATGCCTTCTCAGAAATTGATGACTGACTTACCTGGTGGTCCAGCCAAGCAAGGCCAGCAACAGTGGAGTGCACGTCCCAGCGGTGAATCACCTCCATGCTTCGCCCAAACACACTCACCACCAGCACCACCCGCCCCCACCCCAACGCGAACACCTTCTCCTGCACCCATGCCCTCCGCGCCCCTGCTGCTCCCCCTGCTCCCCCCACTCCTGCTCCTCCGCCTGCTGCTCTTCCCGCTGCTGCTGCTGCTGCTGCTCCCCCTCCTGCTCCTGCTGATGGTGGTGGTGGGGATGAGCGGAGTGCAGCTGATGCAGCTTTATCAACATTACCTCCCCGTACCCCTCTCTCTACCCCTCCACTCCCACTGACCCCACTAACAGCCCTATTCCCATCACCACTAGACCCTGCGTCACCACCCAAACTTGCTCGCCTGCCCTCACTGGTTCTGCTGCTGATGCTGGCACTACCACGGGTGCTCGTACTGCTGCTGCTGCTGCCGCCAGTGCCGGTACTAGCAGAAGAGCGAGGGAGCACCAGAGGCGTGGGAGGAGAGGGATTCACGCGAGACGAGGACGAGGGGGACGAGGAGGAGAAAGGGGGTGAAGAGGATGAGGAGGAGGGGGTGGAGGAGGAGGGGACGAGGCGGGAGGCTGCGGGTTTGTGGAGGGGGGAGGGAGGGGGCGGGGCGCGGCGGAAGGAGAGGCCCCAGCGCCAGGCAGCGTAGGGTAGCGCGGTGCTGTTGGGGTCCAGGGCGTAGGGCAGCAGGTCGAGCGTGCATATGGGGGCGAACTTGGGGAGGATCTGAGCCTGTGAGGGATCGGACAGGGGGGAGGGAGGAGAGGAGAATTGCAGAAGGAGAGGCGGAAGGAGAGGCCGAAGGAGAGGCCCCAGCGCCAGGCAGCGTAGGGTAAGGTGGTGGTGTTGGGGTCGAGGGCATAGGGCAGCAGGTCGAGCGTGCGTGCATATGGGGGCGAATTTTGGAAGGACCTGAACCTGTAGAGGGGTTGGATTACGAGGGAGGGAGAGAGGGCGAGGGCCTGAACCTGTGAATGGGTGGATACCAGTAGAGCAAGGGAGAGAGGGGGGTTATGGTTATGAGACCCCAGCGCCAGGCAGCGTAGGGCAGGGCGGTGCTGTTGGGGTCGAGTGCATTGGGCAGCAGGACGAGTGCATTGGGCAGCAGGACGAGTGCATTGGGCAGCAGGACGAGTGCATTGGGCAGCAGGACGAGTGCATTGGGCAGCAGGACGAGTGCATTCGGCAGCAGGACGAGTGCATTGGGCAGCAGGACGAGTGCATTGGGCAGCAGGACGAGTGCATTGGGCAGCAGGACGAGTGCATTGGGCAGCAGGACGAGTGCATTGGGCAGCAGGACGAGTGCATTGGGCAGCAGGTCGCATGGAAAAGAAAAGGAGGGGGGGGGGGGGGGGGGGGGTTGGGAGTCAGAGATGGACGAAAGGGGAGAATCGCAGGGGGAGGGGGATAGAGTGGCAGCAGAGTGCAATTGGGTTGGAGGGGGATAGAGTGGCAGCAGAGTGCAATTGGGTTGGCATCAATGTATGTGCGGTTAGGGGGTGGTGGAGCAGAGCAGCAGGTGGAGACAGCACGCCTATTTTCTCTCCTGGAACGCGTGCGTGCTGCGCTTGCAACATAACAACACACAACTCTGCTCTGCACCCCTTGCCAGCAGCAGCACTTTGTCTCTCACCACCATCACTTCACCCGTTGTCATTTGAGTCGACTCAAAAGTCACCTCATAAGTCACCTTTTGAGTTGACTCAAAACGCACTCCTTACCAGCCCACGCAGAGCCCTTACCAGCCCACGCAGAGCCCTTACCAGCCCACGCAGAGCCCTTACCAGCAGCAGCACTTTGTCTGTCACCATCATCACTTCAGCGTTGTCACCTCCTCCGCTACCTTTTGAGTCGACTCAAGAATCATTTCCTTACCAGCAGCCCACAAAAATCTAAACCCTTACCAGCAGCAGCACTTTGTCTGTCACCATCATCACTTCTCCCATTGTCACCTCCGCTACCCCCTCCCCCTTCTCCCCTCCCCCTGCTCCTCCTCCCCCTCCCACCGTTCCTTCTACCCCTCTTTGCCTGGCCTCTACTGCCAAACCACTGCTCTTTCCCGAGCCTGGAAGTCCACCCTGCTGTGCTGGCCCTGCCGAACCTGGCTGGTAGGCTTGGGAGGCTGGGTTGGAGCTGGTGGAAGGAGGCTGGGAAGGGTGGATGGGACCTGGTAACCAGGCGGAGAGCAACAGACAGCGACCACCAATCTGGACGTACAGGGTGGGACGAGCAGGTGACGGGAAGAGGAGAGGCGGGAAAGAGGAGAGGAAAGGAGAAAGTGATGAGAGTAAGGGTAAGGTGCGGGAAGGAAAGAACGAGAGATGAGCAGACGGCAGACGGCAGACGGTAGAGAATAGAAGCCCAGTGTATGTATGCTACACATTCGTGACACACGCCTTGCGAGAAGTGACGTTGATGGAGCGGAGAAACGGCAGGTAGGTGACGGAGTGCAGCACCACATACTCCATCGCATCCCCCGTCACCACCTCGTAGCTTTCGGCTGGCCCCCTCATAAGCCAGCACCCCCATCAGTCAGCCCCCCCCTCATGAGCCTCCTCTCGCCTTGAGAGGCACTCACCTTGCGAGAAGTGATGTTCATGGAGCGCAGGAAGGGCAGATAGGTCACTGAATGCAGCACCACGTACTCCATCGCATCCCCCGTCACCACCTCGTAGCTCCTCCCTGCTGCTCCCCCCATGAGTCCCCCTGCTGCTCCGCTCATGAGGCTCGTCGCCCCACTCACCAGCCCCGCCCCAAAATCACTCCCCATGCTTTCCGCCCCTCCTCCGCCTCTTCCCTCCCCGCCTCCTCCCCCTCCTCCCCCGATTCCCCGTTTACCAGGGCCGGTGGCAGTGGCAGCAGCACCACTGCCCACACCTCCAGAAGAAGCACCAGAACCCGCAGCAGCAGCACCAGTAGAAATAGCACCAGCAGCAGAAGCGGGGAATCCCGAGGCAGCGAAGCCTGCATGCACGACAGCAGCAGCATGCTCCCACACCACCTTCACCACCGGCGCCACCAACCCCCCCAGCGCACTCCCCAGCCCCCCCACGCCTCCCCCGCCCGCCCCCACCCTCCCCCCACCCTTCCTTCCCCCTCTCGCCTCACCACCAGCACCAGCAGCACCAGCAGTAACACCAGCACCAGAAGAAGAAGCAGGAAAGCGAGGGCGGAGGGAGGAGATATCCCAGAGCACAACAGCCCCGGATGCGAGCCCTGCTGCGAGCAGATCAGCTGCAGGGGAGAACGCCAGCACAGACACTGACGACCTGTCGTGCCTCATTGGGGAGCTGGCAAAGGCGGACAGAGGGGGAATTAGCTCTGTGATCCGGGCAGGAACAGGGGTGGGCTGATGGGGGGAAGGGGAACCGTGCAGGGCTGGTTGTAGCACAGGCATGAGGAGAACCTTTCCTCCTGCCGTCCCCACTGCCACCAGCAATTCATGCACTGCTACAGCTGTGGCCGACCGCGAGTTGGTCCGGAAGCCTGGTTCGGGTTGTCCCGGACCTGCTGAGTCGGTTCGGTCGGGAGTGACGTCAGCGGGTGCCAGCTCAGCGCAGAGGGGCGGCACGGCGTCGACTTCTAGTAGGCCCACGGCGGGCGGGCCTCTCTCGATACCCTCAAAGCGGATTGGGGTGAGCGGGACTGATGATTGTTCCACTGCTGCTGCTGCTGCTGCAACAGGTGCCACTTTTTCGCCTTCTGCTTCTGCTGCTGCTGCTGTTGATGGTGACGGTGCTGCTGGTTCTGCTGTTGCCAGTTCACCACTAGATGGTAACCCGTTTGCTGGTTCTGTCACTGCTGCTCCTGCTTCTGCTGCTGCTGTGGCGATTCTGCCCTCGCTTGACTCTCCTTCCTTCACCTCCCCGTCCTGCCCGTCCTCACTCTTCCTCCACCCCACCAGCAGCTGCAGCCTCTCCTTCTCTTCCATCGCCGCCAGCTCATCCCTCCCGTCTCCTTCATCGCCATCCGTCCCTTCCTCTTCCTCCACAGAAGCGACGGCAGCAGTGGCAGCAACAGAGGCAGCACCAGCGGCAGCAGCAGCGCCATGAACAGCGGCACTAGCAGCAGCAGCAGCTGCAGCAGAGGCAGATGCAGAGGAAGGAAGAGGGGCAATCCAGAAGCTCCGAAGGTTCTGAAAATCACCTGCCAGGGCTGCTGCTGATACTGCAGCACAGTCATCGTTCCCCATACCCCCGCCTTCACCTTCTTTCTCCTCCCACTGCATTTCATCCCCCTCCACCACCTCCTCCTCGTCCTCTTCCTCTTCCTCTTCCTCTTCCTCTTCTTCCTCCTCTTCCTCATCCGCTTCTTCCGGTTTCTCCTCAACCTCCGCCATGTCCTCTTTGTCCTTCGCGCCTATCTCACCGCTCCGGACAGCACTCGTCCGTGTGCCAGCACTCGTCCGTGTGCCAGCACCCTCCTCTTCCATGACTTCCTCCTCTTCCATCGTCTCACCCTCTACCCCCCATTGGCCTTCACCAAAGGCACCAGCTGCACCAGCACTACCAGTGCCATCAGCAGCATCAGCAGTACCATCTCCACCAGCAATGACAGCGCCACCAGTATGAATAGTGGTAGCAGCAGAACTATCGGCAGCAACTGAGAAAACAACACCAGCAGAGGCACCAGCGACACCAGCCGCACCACCCACATCAGCAGCATGAGGCGCCATTACCACAGAGGGAGCTGCTGCTGCTGGCGTTTCAGCTGCCACTGAGGCCACTGGCTCTGCTGCTGCTGCTGTAGCAGCTGCCACTGCTGCTGGCTCAAAATCAGCTGTAGCGCCGTCTGATGCCCCACTGGCAGATTCATCTGCTGCTACTGCAGCAGCTGGCTTTTGAGTCGACTCAAAATTCATCTCTGTTGGCCCAGCTACAGCAGCAGAGCCGGCTGATACCCCACTGGCGGATATATCTGCTGCTACTGCAGCAGCTGGAGCAGCAACCGTGCCAGCAACAACCGTGCCAGCAGCAGACACAGCAGAAGATGTGGAAACTGCGGAAAGAGCAGAAGTGGCATGAGAAGCGGAAAGAGCAGAGGACCCTCCTTGACTTATCAGCCCCTGAGCCTGGGTCAAGAGGGCGCGGCGTTGGGCCGCTGCAGCTGCTGCCACCTCGGCTGCAGCAAATGCCGCTCCTGGCCTGATCCTAGGCACCCCACCTCGTGACCGACCCCCATGCCCATACCGACTCCCATATCCAACCCCATGCCCATGCCCATGCCCATGCCCATGTCCATGCCCATGTGCATGACCATGCTCGTGCCTGTGCAATCTTCCCTCCACGCTCTCCCCTCCGTACCCTCCAAAGGCTGATCCGCCAAAAGCAGAATCCCCGCTGCTCCCTGCGCCAGATAAAGCCGCACTGCCCCGCCCGCCCAGCACACTGACAGGGCAGGAGTTCCCGCTCACTACAGACAAATCACCGAAGCTACTGCCCGTGGCTCCGCTTCCCGAGCTTCGGGGGCTGTCTACAGATGCCGAACCTACTGCATCCACCCAACTTGCCCCTGCCTCCCCTTTCGCTTCACATCTTCCTCCTCCTCTCTCGCTCTCATTTCCTGTTCCTCCTCCTACTGCTAATGCCTTTGCCCCATCTCCTCCTGCCTCTCGTTGTGCTTCGCCTCCTCCTATTCCCCTTTCTGGAATGTCTGTCACCCCTCCATCCCCTTCAATTGTGTCACGCGTCTCTCTCATCATTATCACACCTCCTCCCTTATTGTCACTCCTCTTGTTCTCACTGCGCTTCCACTGCCCAAAGGAAGGCTCCCGCACATCACACCGCATCCCCTCTTCCTCCTTACCCTCGCCCTCCTTCCCCTCTCCCTCCTTACCCTCGCCCTCCCTTCCCTCTCCACCTTCTTCCTCCTCCCCCTGCTGCTTCTCCTTCCTGGCCCCCTTTTCCTCACACTCATCCGCACCATGTAGCACAAAAGTCGGTCGAAGTATGGCATTAAACGAAACGGAATTGGAGCTTTCCTCCCCCTGCAAATCCTTCATCTCCGCGCCTACGTCTGCTTTAAGCTGGGCTTGAATTCCCTTTCCCTGATTCATCCCAATCACGCCGTTTTCCCACTGGCCGAACGACAGATCTCGACCGTCCAAAGACTGAGGGCTTCCAGGGCTGCCTGATCCACCCGAGCCACGTGGCAATGAGCCATTCGACGCGGCTGAAGAGGGGCCTAGAAGGACTGTCGGCTGCTCTATTACAGAAGAGGCAGACTCTAAACGAGGCACGGTCAGAGAACGAGTGCTATCCCCGTTAGAAGGCAGAACTGGTGCTACAATTGTAGCATCATGAACAGAAACGCCCAATTCGGGTGTATTTTCCAAGTTCTCGTCACCAGCAGCACCTGCCACGTCATCGTCGTCATCCGACACGTCATTCAGGATCTCCTCCAGGCTGCGTCCGCCCCACAGGCCCTCCTCAAGGTCGTCCACGTCATCAAGCTCGTCGTCGTCGCTCACCGCCGCCAGAAGCGCGTCAATATCGATGTCGAACTCCACCTTCGCGGCTTCTTTACGCTTCGGTTCTGCCTCTTTACGCTTCCGTTCTGGCCCTTTACTCACCAACTCTGCCTCGTCACTCTTCCCCTCTGCCTCTCTGTTCTCCATCTTCGCTCTGCTCTGGCCTTCGCGGCCGTGGAATCGCAGTGCTTGGTTCTAACGCCGTCCGTCTCTTTATTCGCCTTTTAGTCCGTTTCCGTCGTTTCCTTCTGTTGCGCGAGTGCCTTCCGCGTCGTCCAATCCAGGACAAGCCATGTCTTAGACACTAATTCGCGCGTCGTGAAAGAGACTAGACCCAACACCCCGACAATCTAAGGTTGCTGCCTGATTGACCACGCAAGGCCGTGCTAGAATGGGCATACCATGTTTATGTATGCTACTACTAACGCCATGTATTGTGATCAAAATGAGCAACCGTTGCCTGTCGCCTGAATGCCGTGTGATTTGACTGATAAGGGAATGCCGTGCCGAGCTGCAGCAACGGCAACAAAACGCCTCCTTTAGTATCTGCTCCGCTTGTACAGATAAACATAATTGTTAAAGAATTCTTAGTATCCCAGCATTTCAGAATACTTCCAAAAAATTCTACTAAATATCGACAATTAGAACACTCTCTCATGAAAAATTTTTGAGGTTCAGCAATTCTGAAAATAAATTCATCTATTCATATTACCGGTCTCGGACATGTACTTCTGAAAGTTGGGGTTGTAGTACGCGAAAAAGTGTTCCCCTTTAATGTGAGAAAACATATTTAGATTCAGAATATTTGGACAACATCAGGCAAGCCTTTGTGCTAGCGATTAGTTACTAACTAGCAGGTTTATCTTTGTGTGATTACAGTAGGGAATAAATCTAAGCTATTCAGTGCTATCTGCTTTGTAGTACAATATGTAGAAGCTGGGCCCATCTATAGTTGCTATACAGTTGTCCAGCGTGACAAAGAGCCGCACGTGATCACAAATCAATGAGGACAACGGACAAAGACGTTCTGCATGTTTGCAAGAATAGTTCCACTCCCCCGATTCCTTTCGTATGTATATATTCCAGGATTACTTACCCCGGAAGGTCCAGATTATGCACAACGTTTCACGTAACCTCTTTGTTCTAGGCGTTTCACGTACTCTTTGTTCTAGGATGAAATGCTCCCAGCTCCTAAACACAAGCTGTTGAGTGTCAACTACGCGTGTCGGTCACAGTCACCCCTAGAAGTTTTTTGTGCTGGTTGTGTCACAGGCCTCTCGTCAGCACACGTCATTCACTGGCTTTCGAGAGTTGGCAGGCTGGAGAGGCACCTGCCCGCCGCATGAAAAATTATGCTGTACACTGGCTTGGTCTGGTCAGTGCTGGAGAATTGCCATGCCAGCGTGTCAGTCGCCCCACCTCTCCTTCCCTCATTGTTGGGCTTCCTAGATTCTTCCTCCGCTCAACAAGGATCCAGCCAGCGGACCACCCCCCCTCCCTCCCTCCCCTCCTCTGAACCTGCACCAACGAGCCCCAATGAATACCAAGCGCGGAATTTCTTCAGTGACAGCATGGCTCTCAACGGGCAAGAGCGGATCAGCCATCGACTCCAGCTGCCGCTATTCAATGCTTTTGTTCGATCCTGTTCGAGCTGCCACCGACGATTGAAAACCCCACAAACCATGACGCAAGCATGGCCATCCATCACCCCCTTTTCCCCTCGAAATTTCCCTTCGCCATGCCACGCAAGCTCATGCCCTGCTGTGGTTCACATTTGTTGAAGTGTGTGTCTCCTTCAGACCCCAAAAACTACATTGCTCCCAAAAAAGCGTAATGCGCTTAGCGAACTTCTGGCTAAGCGCAATGCGCTTAGCCACTACGGTAAGAAAAGTGCATATCTCAAAACTTCTGGTCAGTGGAATGCGAACTATCTCAATGCGCTCAGCGAACTATCGCAACGCGCATAGCCACTACGCTAAAAGTGCATATATTAAAACTCCTTCTGGTCAGTGGAATGACCAATGAAATCGAAGTCTAAGGAAAAAACAGTATTGCGGATCCAGGGGGCTGTGTGGAGAACAAGTATTTCAGAAAATCTATGCAGGATGAGGTTCGGTCAGCGTCGCCAAACTGACTGCGCTTTCTCTGGGGGCTTCCTGACGGTTTCCCACCGCAATCACCCACCGCGTCATTTCCAACCAATCTCTTCCCCCCACTCATCTCCCCCCGTGCATCCCGCACCTTTTCCCGCTTCCCGTTACCCCAGAGTCACTACCCCCGGTTCCCCGTTCTCCGCCGCTCTGCACCCCTTTCCCCCAACCAGCTTGACCCTCCAGCCGCCCGCCTCGTGCTGCTTCTGAGAGCCTTCCCCCCTCCACCTCTTTTCCCTTCCCTTCCCATCCCACTCCCCGCTCACCCTCTCTCCTCCGCTGCGCCGTCTGTGCCTCTTCTCTCCTCCCCCGCTCCCCCCTCCGCTCAATCAACTCGTTCCGCGCCCCACCAACCGTGCATTTCTCCCCTCGATCCTCTCCTGTTTCCAAGGCCTTCCGCCTTCTCCTCTCCGTTGCTCTCGCTTGCTGCGAGCGCAACTTGCATCCCCTACGGACTTCCCTCACACACCTCGAGATTGGTTTCATCTTCTGTCGTGTTACTTGTTCAGTGGTTGCCTCTTCCACCATGGACGATTGGTCGTAGCTGTTATTTGATTCCGAGAAAGAGGATCGTTAGAGTAGAATTTCCCAGCTAGAATCTCGTTGCAATGGCTTCGCGAGGAAGGTCCACGCCGTGTGGACGATCCATGGCGGGAATTTTGGATGTTCATGTCCATTATGCGGCAGGGCTCCCCTCATTGTGTGACTATGGCGAGCAGGACGTTTACGTTCGTTTTTTATTCGGCGAGCTCGATCCCCTCTCCGGTGCCGTATTACAGGTACACGAGTCTGTTTTTTCGTCGACCAGTTAGCAGCAATTCACGATTCTCGTCTATTCTTAACCGTTAAACACTTCCCAATATAGCGAGACTTACTTGACTTCATCTTAGTTGTTTCGAGCTTGCGTTTCCGCCCTTGAGGCTTAGAGGAAATTTTGTCGTAAGGATTGTTGCTCGCGTAGCGTAGCGTCAAGCAGACCTGCGTCCTGTTTCTATGTTACCTGCGTGAGCAGACCAGGACTGTTCGCAAGGGCGGCACGCGTCCCATATTCGACCAGTCTCTGCAAGTCGGAGTCCCGTCGGGCGAGCAGGTTGGTGCTGCCGTGTTTGGTACACTACCATAGTTTTCCTTGCAATCGTCACGATAAGATGCAGCGTCAACGTGTCATCTCCCATATTCGACCAGTCGCTGCGAATCGGAGTCTCCTCGGGCGAGCAAGCTCTTGCTGCCTTGTTTGGTACTTCACCATGGTTGTTTCTTGCAGCTATCGTCATAGGATGCAGCATACGACCTGCCATATAGTCAACCAGCCGCGTCACATCGTAGTTTTGTCAGGCGTTCAGGGTCGCGTCGATTGTACTCATGTTGCGCCATTGAGCTTCGAGTAGTTTTGTACGGAACTTTTTTTCTTGCCACCCTTCGGCGTGTACGCAAGAGAGTAAGGTAACTGGCGATGTGTCAAGCGTTTTTGCGTTCCTTGCCGGAAACTTTCTCCCGTTATACCCGTCCCGCGCTCGTCGCGCTCGTCTCGCGCTCGTCCCGCTCGTCGCGTTCGCTCCGCTCGTCCCGCTCGTCGCGTTCGCTCCGCTCGTCCCGCTCGTCGCGCGCTCTCTCGTCGTTCCTCGCATTCATTGTCCACCACCCCTCCCTTCCTCCCTCCTCCGCTGCGTCGCCGTTGCGGAGAATCGCGGAACTCTTGCGTCGCGTTCGCACGGTGGAGTTTAGATCTTCGTCACGTGGCTTCCCGCCGCCGCTCATCAAGCCGTTTTTTCCCTACACCCGCGCCCTTTTCCCCAATCTCCCTTCCCCACCTCCCCACCTTCCTTCCCCAAACTATCCCCCCCAATTTATCGCGACGCTCGCTCCCAACCTCTGTGGTGCGAGCTGTTCATGTGGCGGCTGCCTCGGGGTCGCGGTCTGATGCGGTTCACGCTTTCCCCCTCATCTCCCCTTTGTCTCCTCTTCCATCCATTCCCCCGTTCCCCGCCTCCCTCTTCTCCCCGCTTCCCCCTTCCTTCCCCTCTCCCCCCTTCCTTCCCCTCTCTCCGCCCATCCCCCCGCCTTTTCCCCCGCTCCGCGCAGCGGCTGCGCTGCGAGGTGTTCATGTCGCAGCCGCGCGGGCGCGATCAGCTGCTGGGCGCCGCGAACGTGTCGTTGGAGGAGATTATATCGCGTACAGCCAAGCTCTCCAAGAAACCCGCGGAGTTTAAGTGAGCTCCGGTCTCGCGCTTCATCCATTCGAGCATTCATTGGCGCATGTTGTGTCCGATCTTCGCGAATCGCCTCCCCTTTCGCACACCCCCACTCCCCCCTCCCCCTTCCGCCCCCCCACCCCTGTTCGATTCCCAACTTCCGTTGTCTTTTCAGTCTCTTCTCCTACCTGCTCTTCTCTTGCCCTTCTCACGCCTCCTCCCTTTCGTTCTCGCTCGGTTTAGTAGTCTTTGCAGGTTCGTACCAGCTCAAACCCGTCTCTCCTCTCGTTCTCTCCCCGTGACGCTCTCGTCTTCTCCGCTTCCCCCCGCCAGACTGCTGAGCAACAGCAGCGCTCCCGCGGGTGCGCTCGTGCTCACGCTCACCTACCACGGCCGCTCCGCCTCTTCCTCTCGCCCCGCCGCGCAGCCCGCCGCGCAGCCCTCCGCGCAATTCGGTGCGCAGTCCGCCGCGCAGTCCGACGGACAAGCCGGCGCGGTGGCCGCGGCAGCGGCGGCGGCTGCCGGGGCGTTCTCGCGGTTTGCATTTCCGCCTTCCCCGCAAGATTCCGCCTCCGCCGCCGCTGCCGCGATCGCGCTGCTCCCCGCAAAGAGAACGCCCCCCCCGCTCCTCGCGTCGTTCGCGATGGTTGCGCCCCCACCCAATTCTGGATCCCACCCCGCGTCTAGCGCAGTAGACGCGATAGCAGCCGCGCTATTCCCGCGGGCGCACATCCAAGCGCAGTCTCAGGCGCAGGCTCAGGCGCAGGTTCAGGCGCAGGCGCAAGCGCAGGCGCAAATGCACCCGCAGATGCTGACATCACCCCAGCTGACTCCGCCCATGTTCCCCCCCGCGTCTTCCCCGTTTCCGCCTCCCCCTTCCCCGCCTGGCGCTATTGCGCAGGCGGCAGGGGCTTCTGCGCCGCCCCCTTCGTTTTTTAATCCTTCGCCCTCGTTAGTATCACATCCCTCGCCTTCGTTAGTATCACATCCTGCCCCCTCGTTACTGTCACATCCTTCCGCCCCAGCGGCACCGTTACTTTTCAACCACCTGGCCTCGTCCGCTGCTGCGCCGTCATCGCAGCGCTGGGGCGCAATAGAAGGCGCGTCGCAGCTAGAATCAAGGCGGGTAGTAACGGGGACGGAGGTGGAAAATCGCGCAGTCGGGGACTTTACCAGCGCGAACGGGGCCGGGCAAGGCGCGCTGCGTGGTATACCTTCCGCGGAGTTCAGTTTGGGGGGGGCGCGGATCGGCGGAGCGGGAGTAGGCGGCGCAGGAGCAGGGGGGGCGGGGGGAACGGCGGGGGTAGCGGGGGCGGCAGCGGAGCTGATGACGATGGCACAAAACGACAGCACGCACAGGTCGTATCTGGCCAGGCAGTTACTGGACTCGAGCGCTGCAATGCAGGGCGGCGCGAGTATGGGGCCGCTAGATTTGGGTCCATCCAACGGTGGAGATGCAAGCATGGGGGCGGTAGATCTGCCGGGTGCTAGTTTGGGGGCTGTGGCCGCAGGATCCGCGGAGCCCGTAAAGGCGGAGCAAGCAGGCGGAGTTCTGGGGGAATTGGGTGGGGGAAGGATGGGGGGAACGGGTAAGACATCCCCGCCCCCCTGCTTGGATCTCTCCGCGGGTCTGGGCAGAGCAGGGGGAGCGGAAGGGGGCATTGGGGGGAGAAGGAAGAGCTTGAGGCGGGAACGGGAGTGGTGGAGTGAGGCGAAGGCGGAAGCTATGGAGGTGGAGGGGGGAAGTGAGGGGTGCAGGGGAAGATCCGGCGTAGGGGTGGTAGAGCTTGGATTGTCCACTGTGGCAACAGCAACAGCAGCAGCAACAGCAGCAGCAACAGAAGCAGGTGGGAACGAGAGCGCAGCGGATGGTAGCACGAGTGCAGCAGCAGCAGGACCGAGAGCAGAAGCAGGAGCAGAAAGGAGCACAGAACCTATTGCAGACTTGCTGAACGTTAACCATGCTCATCGTCAAAACGAGCAGCAGCAGCAGCAGGAGGAGGAGGAGGAGCCGAGGCTGATGCAGCTGCTGCCTATGCAGTGGTGCTCGGAGGACAGAGAAAAGGACAGTTCCGTGCATAGTAGAAGCGGCGACAGACCGTCAGGACCGTCAGATAGACGGCCTGGTCTCACTCTTTCAGATAACACACTAGCGACCGTTGCAAGCCCGGACCTATCCATTGGTAGGAGGGCAACGAAGCTGAGCCTGGAGCCTGCCGAGCCAAGCAGGCATGGCTTGGCGTCAACTTTGACTCTAGGTTTGGAACCCGAGCCTGTTGGTGAGTCGGAAAGAGCGCCCGTCGCCTGCCACCCTGCGCCCTTTTCCATGACCGTAGGCTCATCCTTCGAGCCGATCCAACAGGCGCCTTTTCAGGTGCCTTTTCAGGTGCCACAACAGCATCCTGGTCAGGCGCCTCAACAGGCGCCTATATCTATGGTTCCGGGCGTGGGCGTGGGCGTGGGCACGGGCGCGAATACATACGCGGATAGTAGTCATCCGGGCAGTTTAGGGGATCAACTGCATGCAGCAGTTGCAGCGCCCGCTGCTGCTGCAGCCGCTAGTGTTGCTGCTGCTGCTGCTCCCGCTGGTGCTGGTACTGGTGCTGCTGCTGCTGCCACTGGCGCGTTTTTCTCTGCTTTCCCATCGCATCCACCCTCTTCCATGCATCTACCGACACAACCCGTGCCGGCGCTACCCACAGCACCTGCCTCTGCTGCATCCCTTTCGTTCCAAGGCCCCCCCGTGTCTGCCTCCCCCCCTGTCCCTCTCTCTGTCCCTGTTCCTGTCTCCATCTCTGCCCTTATCTCTGCCTCTGCCCCTGTCTCTCTCGCCCCCCCTACTTGTATCTCCTCCTCCTCTCGCCCAACTGCCTCTGCGTTCCGCCCCTATCCAGCCACCCTGCGCACTGATACCAAATCGCCCCAGGCAGCATCTGCCGCCGAGCCTAGCCGGCCCGGCGGGGACTCTTCCAGGCTCGGCACAGAATTGTCGAGGCTCGGCGCCGAGCCATGCCGGCCGGCAAAGAAGCAGTGCTGTTCGCCTGCCCGGCAAGTCTACCCCGTCTCCCCTCAGCAAGCAGCCGCCTCACCTCAGGACCACACTTTGCCTCAAGACCATATTTTACCTCGGGATTCAAAACAGGTTGCTGCTGAAAAGCCCGCTTCGTTGCTCCCGTCCCTCCCCTCCTTCTCCTGTCGCTCCCGCAGCACTGCTGCCTGCCCTGCGGCTGCTGCAGCCAGGTCTCTGTTTGGAGCCCTCATGGGGTCAACTGGGTTTGGTAGTGGCGGTGGTGTGAATGCCAGTGCCAGTGCCAGTGGCACTGGTAGTGGTGGCAGCTCTGCGGCTGGATCATCAGCTGCTGCTACAGCGTCTACAGCCGATGCCACAGCTGCTGCTGCTGCTGCTACAGCCCCTACAGGCGCTGCAGCTTCTACAGCCGCTACAGCCGTTGCAGCTTCTACAGCTGCTGCTACAGCCCCTGCGTCAGCATGCCCGGGTGCGCCCGCGTGGCTTGTGGCTCTGTCGTCCTCGCTTGGTATGGGCGGGTGCAAGCAGCAGCAGGCGCAGCAGCAGGGGAAGCAGCAGCAGGCGCAGCAGCAGGCAAAGCAGGGGAAACTGCTGCTCACCCAGCAGCAGCAAGGAAAGCAGGCGAAGGAACAGAAGCAGCAGCAGCAGCAGGGGCAGAAAGCGCCGCTGCTGCAGCAGCTACAGCAGGCACAGCAGAAGCAGGGGAAGCAGATCCAGTCAATCGTTCCCACTCCTCCCGATGCCGCCGCATGTGGATCACGGATTCTGCGCTTGGCTGAGCTTCTGGGCGAGGTTGAGAGCCATCGCAAGGCCCAATCGTCGTCCTCACCATCACCACCGCCAGCAACAGCCGCAGCAGTAGCAGCAGCAGGAGCAGCAGCAGCAGCAGCAGCGCCGGCGGGATCCCTGGCAGCAGGGTTAGCAGCTGCAGCGGCAGCAGCCACTGCTGCGGCTGCAGCCGCGACAGGAGCAGGGGCTGTAGCAGGGACGAGAGGGACGTTAGGCAGCAGCAGGGGGGGTGATATTGGGCGGAAGGCTCACACTCACAGCTCATCACCCCAGTCTCCAGCCCAGGCCCCGGGCCTGATAGGCTTGGGCCAAGCCGGCATCCGAGCCTCCTCGAAGCCTTCCTCCCGCTCGATCCTGCCTTCCCCGTTTGCCGCCAGTGATGCTGCTACCAACACCTCTGCTAGTGCAGCAATGGGTGGTGGTGGTGGTGGTGCTGGTGCTGGTGGTGCTGGTGCTGGTGCTGGTGCTGGTGTTGGTGCTGGGTTAGGGGCGGCTTTTGAGTCGATTCAAAAGTCACCTCGGGGTGCCGGTGCTGGTTCAGGGGCGGGTGTAGGGGCGGAGCAGGGCACGAGGAAGGGGAGTTTCCTACCCCACCTGATGCTGGCACTGGAGAATTCTAAAAAGGCGAAGCAGGGCACAGGGGTAGGTGCGCTCAGCAGTGCCCTCAGTGCTACAGCCGGTGCTACAGCCGGTGCAACAGCCAGTGCCGTGGCCGGTTTTACAGCTACTGCTACAGCGAGTGCTACAGGTGGGGCGTCTAGTGCTGTCTGTGGTCCAAGGCAGGCTGGCAGCAGTGGCACACCGGGTATTGCTGACATGCCAGGTATAGCTGGCCCCAATCCAGGGCTAGGCGCAGCCATTGCTGCTGCTGCCGCCGCTGCTGCAGCTGCGGCTTCTGCTGCTGGTGCTGCTGGGTCTAGTGGGTTGGCAGGGGGTTTTGGGAGGGGTAAGGGTGCTGGGGTCGCGTCTGGTGCGGGTGCAGGGGCAGGAACGGGACTTGGAATGGGAACAGGACTGGGGTTTGGTAAGGGAGCAGGAACGGGAGTAAAAATGGTTGAAGGGGGTGCAGCAGAGGTGGGTGCTGGGGAGGAAAGACGAGGAGATGTGGGAGGAGGAGCAGGAGGAGGAGGCGGGGGAAAAGGGCAGGGGCAAGCTGCATGGCACAGGGAGGACCAGATCACTCCCACGTCCGTCCTTGATGTCGCCATGTCCGATGCTGACAGGTGAGATGCGGTGCTGACAGGTGACATGCGATGGTTTCGGTTGAGAATTTGAACCGAAAGGGTTAAGTACGACACATATCTCCCCCCTCATTTCAGTTGATAAACCCTTTGTTTCCGTCAACCCCCCTCTCTGTCTTTCAACCACTCTTTTCATCAACCCTCCCTCTGCATCTCTCCCCTCGTTCCCCACAGCGAGCATGCCACAGAGGACGTGCGCATGGCTGAAGCTGCCGGTTCTTCTCACATGCCTTCCCTTCACCGTGCACATCTGACACATCAACCCCCCTCTCTGTCCGTCTCCTTCTCCCATTGCTCTTTGCAGCGAGCATGCCACAGAGGACGTGCGCATGGCTGAAGCTGCTTCTGCTCCACAACCACCGTCAACAATAGTAGCAGCAGCAGCATCAGCAGGAGCAGGAGCAGCATCGCATGCATCATTAGCAGCATCAGCATCCGCCCTGCCTCCCAGCCTCGTAGCCTTCTTGGCATCCCAGGCTGCAGAGGCTGCTGCTGCTGGGAAGAACCGTCCAAATCTAGCCACCCAGCAGCAGCACCAGCAGCAGCAGCAGCAGCAGCAGCAGCAGCAGCAGCAGCAGGAGAGGGCACAGACGGAGGAAGGAAACGGGCAGGTCTCACCAAAGCCTCCTGCCTGGCAGCGCAGCTTTGCTGCAGCATTTGCAGCAGCCAGTGTGACCCCCTCAGCTCATGCCGATGCCTCCCCTCCTATTCCCTCTGCCCCCGCTCCTTCCGCTCCTGCTTCTGCTCCCCCTCCCAATCCTGCTCCGCCTGCTCCTCGCCCTTCTGCTCTCTCTCCTCCCACTGCCCCCAGCGCGTTTGCCGCGTTACTGAGAGCCAGTGAGGCAGCTAACCCCTCCACACCTCTCCACCAGCCCAATCACGGCCTCAACCCCTCTTCACCCCTTCACCACCAGCACCAGCACCAGCACCAGCACCAGCACCAGCACCAGCAGCTCCAGCACCAGCAGCACTACCAACACCACCACCCGCATCCGCCATTTCTTGTAGCAGCCCCTGCAGCTGCAGTAGCAGCAGCTGCACCACCCACTGCAGCACCAGCATCCCGATTGCCAGCTCCCGTCAATAGCACCTCTCCCTCTCCCTCTCCTCCCTCTCTTTCCTCTCCTCCCTCACCACCCTCCATCCCCTCCTCTTCTCCTGCTTCCTCCTCCAACCCCTCCTCCACCACCTGCCCCCTCACGGCCCTCCAAGGCTCGCTGCCGAACCTCCCGCTGCCTGGCCTACCGCTGCCGAGCCTGCTGTCGTGGCATCGCAAGGTGGAGGGGGAGGAGGCGGCGCTGCTGAGAGAGCAGGCAGCCGCCATCTGGCAGGTCTCTAAGGCGCTCATGGGTCAGCAGGGTGGGCAGGGGCAGGGCCAGCAGGGGCAGGGGCAGCAGGGACAGCAGCAGAGGCAGGGGCAGGGGCAGGGGGAATTGGCTTATTTCCCGAAACCTGTAGAGGCAGCAGAACCAGCAAGTGCAGCAACAAGCGAGGCGGGAGCGGCAGGTGATGGAGCAGCAGCAGCAAGAGAATCAGCAGAAGAGGCAGTAGGAAGCCCTGGGTTGGCAGGTATGCAGGCTCTGGCAACCCTAGCTGCTCTACAGCAGCAGCAACAGCAGCACCAGCATCAGCACCAGTCAGCTTCTTCTGCTGGAGCTGCTGCTGCTTTTTCGCTAGTAGATCCTGTTTCTGCTAGTCGTGCAAAGGCTGCTGATGCTGCCGCTCATGCTGCTGCTGATGCTGCCGCTCATGCTGCTGCTGCTGCTGCTGATGCTGCCACTCGTGCTGCTGACGGTGGTGCCACTGTTGCTGTTACTGCTGCCTGCACCTCAGCCGAACGGCTATGCAGGAACGGAATGACATCGGATCGCTCTGGGAGCGGGAAGAGGAACAAGCGGCGCTCTTCCCACTCAAACACCAACACCACTGGCACTGCCACCACTGCCACCACCACTACCACTGCCACCACTTCTGCCAGCACAGATAATTCCTCTGCTTGCAGCCCTCCTGGTGCCATGCCAGGTGTTACGCCAGGTGTTTTTTCAGGTGTTTTTCTGCCTGCTGTCACATCGGGTGCGATGCCAGGTGCAGGCACGGGCACAGCAGCAGCAGGCACGGCCACAGCTACATCAGCTGCTGCAAATCATTCGACTAGTGGCTGTGTGCAAGCAGAACAGCTACACAAACAAACGGCATGCTCGGCACACCAGCATGGGGCGAGCGGCGGTGCGTTGGCGAGCTTTGAAGCATCTCAAAACGCGCATCAAAGGGGAAACGTGCATCAAAGAGGGGGAGCTGGCAGTGTGGTGGGGGCACACCAGCAGGCTGCTAATGGCAGTGCGATCCCAGCCCAATCACATGGGTTGGCACAGCAGCAAACGACAAGTACGGCGGGTGCAGCACCAGCACTGCCACCAGATGGCTGTGAGATGTCAGCGCAACAGCATGCAGCGGCGGTGTGGCAAGCGAGCATGGGGAAGAGCAGGGAGGAGGCGGAGGCGCTCTGTGAGCAGGCTGTGCGGGCCGGCACTCTCACTCACGACCAGGCGGCTGAGTTCTGTGGACTGCTGTCCAAGGAGAGCCTGCGGAGCTTGCGAGAGGTGAGCACAGAAGGGTGGGATGTTTTAGGGGTGCTTCATACAGGACTAGGAAGACAGCCATCACACGCACTCTTATCCCCCCCCTCCCCCCCCCCCCCCCCCCTTCCCTCCTCCCCCCTCTTTCCTTGCTTCCCTCCCTTCCCAACAGTCTCTCTTACGATGAGGATACGTTTCGGGGCTGCTCAATAGAGGACCTGGAGGAGAGTCGCAGGCCGGCGTGGCGGGAATTCTGGGAGAAGCTAGAGGCGGACAAGAGGAGAGGGAGGGCAGCTGCTGCTCTCAACTCACAGGTTCCACTCCTCCTAATCCACCCACTCTCTCCCGTTCCTCTCGCCCCAACCAACCCCCCACTTCTGTTCCGAGCAGTCTCTCTTGGCGATGGAGGACAAGTTTCGAGGGTGCTCGATAGAGGACTTGGAGGAGAGCCGCCGGCAGGCGTGGCGGGAGTTTTGGGAGAAGCTAGAGGCGGGCAGACGGCGAGGAGGGGCGGCAGCTGCTGCTGCGGGCGGGCCGAATGGGGCTGTGGGAGCTGGGGCTGGAAGCGGTGCCGGCAATGGCTCGTGCATATTTTACGGCAGCCGCGCGTTTTTCTGAGGCGGCGTGGCATGGTGTGCCAGCAGTGGGAGGAACCGGTTTTTGAAATTGGAGGGAACTGGTGAAGGAAATGGTGTTGCATGCATGATGCTCTTTGAGTTCTGGGAGAAGCACAGGGATGCGTATGGAGACGGGCAGGTGGAGAGGAGGAGAGGAGGAGGGGGGATGACTGCTGCCTGGGATGCACAGGGCGGGCCGAATGGGATGCACAGGGCGGGCCGAATGGGGCTGTGGGGGCTACGGCAATGGCTGCTTGTGCATATTCTACGGCTGCCGCACATTTTTCTGAGGTGCCATGGCATGTGAAGGAAGGAATCGGTTTGCTGGTGAAGGAATTGGAGTTGAAAACGCTCTTTGGGTTTCAGGAGAAACTGGAGGCGGACAGGAGAGGAGGGGCGGCTGCTGCTGCTCATGACGCACAGGGCAGGGCGAATCGGGCAGTGGGAACTGCGACTGGGAGTAGTCCCGGCAATGGCTCGGCGAGGAGGGTGGGGGTGCTGCTCGTGACGCACAGGTCGGGCCAAAAGGGGTTGTGGGAGCCAGGGGTGGAGGCGGTGCGGGCTTTGGCTTGTGCGTTTTTTTACGGCTGCCTCTCGTTTTTCTAAGCCGGCATCGTGTCGCGTGCCATAATTGGAAGGAAAAAAGATCGGGTTGCTGAAGGGACTGGTTTCCTATACGTTCTTCAAGCCCCACAGGCTTTGTGGGTCTGAAATTTCTTAATTGCATACCGGTATGAGATCGCGCCTAATTTAGTAGAGCTGGTTCAGATAGGGTGGTTGATTCCGAAGTATCTATTATAAATGGTGTTTATGCAAGATTTAGTGTAGCATATTGACCAGTGGTAATTCCCATTAGCGAAGTCCGCGGTTTTAGACGTCCGGGGCGCGTTTCAACACAAGAGAAGCTCCTTTCTTGTGCAAATTTGGGTACGTGTCAGTTACAGGCTTGAGTTGCCCCAAAATGGAACGCGCGCGCGAGAGCTTCCACCTTCGCAAGGGCGGGTTACAGCCCGAAACGCGTTGCAGCACGATTCGAATCGCAAATAACCTTGAAAGGAAACGAGAAACACGCCTCACAAAACCTGGAGTTCTGCCTTTCGTGCGGTATTCTAGAACCACCGCGTTTGAACTCTTGAATATTCTCGCAAGAATTCCGTTGGAGGTGTCGTCGATTAGGGCTTGTTCCGACATCGCTTCGGCATACGTGCTTTGGCGTTTTCACAGTTCCGTTGCTTCTGCGTCCCTTTGCCTTCACGATAGAATCTTCCCTTTCCATTAAACAAAACCGAGATAACAACAAGAGCCAATCAGCAAACCAGTCAGCGTGAGAGGAGAATCAACCAATTGTGTGGAGGCACTTTTGAGAATTCTCAAGATTGACGCCGATCGCGCGGAGGCATGTATGCGGATCGCCTAGAGGAGGAGCGGGAGACCGTGAGAACCCGCCTCTCGGGGGGCCAAGGCGGCGTGCGCACAGGCGCCGCGAGCACCGGACCAATCAGGAACCGCGTGTCGTTCAAGAAGGGCGGCTCGGCCACCACATTCAGGTGCGCCGTGTCTGCCTGCGGCCCGGGATGCGTCGCATTCTGCCTGTGCTTCGGGTTACGCCGCGTATGGTAACGCCTTTGGGTGACCATTAAGTTGACTGAATAGTCATATTCGGGTACAATGACTCAGATAGAAGCTCGGTTGCGCCGCGTATGATAACGCCTTCGAATGACTATTGAGTCGCTGATTGAAGCTAAGGTTGGACCCGGCTAGCTGGGCGTGGTAGCAGCTGCTTTAGCCGGTCCCTGCGAGTGTGGTAGCTCCTGATTTAGGCAAACCCTTTATTTTCTGTGGTGCAAGTCGGGTTAGGGTCGGTTCAGTAGTGTGGGAAGGAGTATTTGCTTACATGACTTCCTTTGTATGCCGATTGGTGTCACCTCGGTGCCTCAAGGGAGGTTCAGTGGAACGGAGAGGGAAGGAGAGGGAGGAAGGGGAAGGTGGCCAAAAAAGAAAGGATGGGGATGCGGAAGGAGAAGGTTGGGAGGGAAAGGACGGGGGGGAAGGAACAGGACTTTGAAGGAGGGATAAGGCATTAATTAGTTAAGCCTGAAGGACTATGTATTTACGAAGGGCGGAGTATATTTTAATATTGTTTGGCCAGAGCGGCGCCCATGATGAGTCGGTTTTTGAGTCGACTAAAAAACCGACTCATCTTTTGAACTTGTTTGACCAGAGCGGCGCCCATGAGCGGCGCCCATGATGACCCTGCTTGGTACGGTGCGACTTTCATCCAATCCCTTGCTCCCCACCTTTCTCACCACCACCATTCAGGCGACACTCTACTGGCGGCAGCGGTGACGAGGACAGATGGCATCACGACCTGTTTGACCAGAGCGGCAAAAATGACGACCCTATTGGTGACGGTGCGCCCTTTCTCCATACCACTCCACTCCCCTCCAACCCCTCTCACTCCCCTCCACTCCCCTCCAACCCCTCTCACTCCCCTCCACTCCCCTCCAATCCCCTCCACTCCCATCCACTCCCATCCACTCCCCTCCACTCCCCTCCACTTCCCTCCACTCCCCTCCACTCCCTTCCTTTCCATGCCTATCGCTTCGCCCTGAATCCTTTTGAGAATTCCTCAAACTGACTTCCCTCCTTCGTTTCTTCACATGCGTTTGAGAGGTTGCTTAGAGATTTTTGAAGAAGCGATATAATCAAGCATGCATGCCTTTCTTTCTCTTCATGCTGCCCTGTGATTGAAGAAGGGTTTTGAGACGCCTCAAAACCCTTCTTCAATCAGAAGCGATATAATCAAGCACGCATGCCTTTCTCTCTCTTCATGCCGCCCTGGGCGTTTCTACCGCCCTCTTCTGTTCCTCTTCTCTCCTCTCAGCACCTCAGTCGCACTCAGCTTATTGTCTCCCATATGTAAGTATTACCACCCCCCCCCTTTTAATCAAAATTTGCAACAATGTCCTTCCCCTCCCCCTCTTTTGAGTCGACTCAAAAGTCAACTCCTTCCCCTCCCCCTCTTTTGAGTCGACTCAAAAGTCAACTCCTTCCCCTCCCCCTCTTTTGAGTCGACTCAAAAGTCAACTCCTTCCCCTCCCCCTCTTTTGAGTCGACTCAAAAGTCAACTCCTTCCCCTCCCCCTCTTTTGAGTCGACTCAAAAGTCAACTCCTTCCCCTCCCCCTCTTTTGAGTCGACTCAAAAGTCAACTCCTTCCCCTCCCCCTCTTTTGAGTCGACTCAAAAGTCAACTCCTTCCCCTCCCCCTCTTTTGAGTCGACTCAAAAGTCAACTCCTTCCCCTCCCCCTCTTTTGAGTCGACTCAAAAGTCAACTCCTTCCCCTCCCCCTCTTTTGAGTCGACTCAAAAGTCAACTCCTTCCCCTCCCCCTCTTTTGAGTCGACTCAAAAGTCAACTCCTTCCCCTCCCCCTCTTTTGAGTCGACTCAAAAGTCAACTCCTTCCCCTCCCCCTCTTTTGAGTCGACTCAAAAGTCAACTCCTTCCCCTCCCCCTCTTTTGAGTCGACTCAAAAGTCAACTCCTTCCCCTCCCCCTCTTTTGAGTCGACTCAAAAGTCAACTCCTTCCCCTCCCCCTCTTTTGAGTCGACTCAAAAGTCAACTCCTTCCCCTCCCCCTCTTTTGAGTCGACTCAAAAGTCAACTCCTTCCCCTCCCCCTCTTTTGAGTCGACTCAAAAGTCAACTCCTTCCCCTCCCCCTCTTTTGAGTCGACTCAAAAGTCAACTCCTTCCCCTCCCCCTCTTTTGAGTCGACTCAAAAGTCAACTCCTTCCCCTCCCCCTCTTTTGAGTCGACTCAAAAGTCAACTCCTTCCCCTCCCCCTCTTTTGAGTCGACTCAAAAGTCAACTCCTTCCCCTCCCCCTCTTTTGAGTCGACTCAAAAGTCAACTCCTTCCCCTCCCCCTCTTTTGAGTCGACTCAAAAGTCAACTCCTTCCCCTCCCCCTCTTTTGAGTCGACTCAAAAGTCAACTCCTTCCCCTCCCCCTCTTTTGAGTCGACTCAAAAGTCAACTCCTTCCCCTCCCCCTCTTTTGAGTCGACTCAAAAGTCAACTCCTTCCCCTCCCCCTCTTTTGAGTCGACTCAAAAGTCAACTCCTTCCCCTCCCCCTCTTTTGAGTCGACTCAAAAGTCAACTCCTTCCCCTCCCCCTCTTTTGAGTCGACTCAAAAGTCAACTCCTTCCCCTCCCCCTCTTTTGAGTCGACTCAAAAGTCAACTCCTTCCCCTCCCCCTCTTTTGAGTCGACTCAAAAGTCAACTCCTTCCCCTCCCCCTCTTTTGAGTCGACTCAAAAGTCAACTCCTTCCCCTCCCCCTCTTTTGAGTCGACTCAAAAGTCAACTCCTTCCCCTCCCCCTCTTTTGAGTCGACTCAAAAGTCAACTCCTTCCCCTCCCCCTCTTTTGAGTCGACTCAAAAGTCAACTCCTTCCCCTCCCCCTCTTTTGAGTCGACTCAAAAGTCAACTCCTTCCCCTCCCCCTCTTTTGAGTCGACTCAAAAGTCAACTCCTTCCCCTCCCCCTCTTTTGAGTCGACTCAAAAGTCAACTCCTTCCCCTCCCCCTCTTTTGAGTCGACTCAAAAGTCAACTCCTTCCCCTCCCCCTCTTTTGAGTCGACTCAAAAGTCAACTCCTTCCCCTCCCCCTCTTTTGAGTCGACTCAAAAGTCAACTCCTTCCCCTCCCCCTCTTTTGAGTCGACTCAAAAGTCAACTCCTTCCCCTCCCCCTCTTTTGAGTCGACTCAAAAGTCAACTCCTTCCCCTCCCCCTCTTTTGAGTCGACTCAAAAGTCAACTCCTTCCCCTCCCCCTCTTTTGAGTCGACTCAAAAGTCAACTCCTTCCCCTCCCCCTCTTTTGAGTCGACTCAAAAGTCAACTCCTTCCCCTCCCCCTCTGCACTTTAACGACGCCGCACTCCTGCCCCTCCTTCCGCCTCTCCCCCACGTCCCCTTCCCCAAACTCCCCCAGGAGTTCCCGCAGCCAATGACCTCCGCGCCCTGCTCAGGGCCAAGGGGGGGAGCCAGCGGGGGGGAGGGGGGAAGCTGGGGGGAAGACTGGGCGGAAAAGTGCAGGTGGCGGACCTGCGCCACAAGCTGTCTGGGGGGAGCGGGGGAAGTGGGGGGAAGATTAACAGGGGGAGACTAGGCACTGCTGTGGTAAGCAGTGCGGGGATTTTAGCAGCTGAAAGGGGAGCAGGCGGGGGAGGGGGGAAAGGAGGAAGCAGAGGAGCAGCAGCAGGAGGAGGAGTAGGGGGGGTGGTGGTGAGGGGTAGAGGCGCGGTTACAGACCTATCCTCTCTATCCTCTGTATCCTTTAGGAGTGATGAGCGGTCGGTGGTTGGTGGGGACGTGGGCGGGGTAGTGAGGGTGGCAGCAGCTGCTGCTGCTGCTGCTGCAGCAGGAGGAAGGGGAGGGGGGGAACGCCTAGTGAAGCAGCAGCAGCCGCGGCAGCAGCACTATCAGCAGCAGGAGCAGAGGAGGCTGACCGTGGTGGTGGCAAACGATGGGGTTGGGGGAGCAGGGAGCGTCAGGAGGAGAAGCACGGTGGTGGGGGCGGTGGGGGTGGGGGAGGAGAGGGGGGTGGCAGCTATAGATGCTGACGTGGCTATGGATGGGGAAGATGAGCAGCAGGTGAGAGGCGGCTGGGGAGAAGGTGGGGGAGAAGGTGGGGGAGAAGGTGGGGGGGAAGGTGGGGGGGAACGTGGGGGTTGGGTGGTGGGGGAGGAGAGGAGGGCGACCAGGAGCAGGTGAGAAGTGGCTGGGGAGAAGTCTGGCTGGATTGTGAGTGATGCATGCGCATCCCATGGCGTGACTTGAGTCGTTTTGAGACGTAAACATCACTTTTATCACGTGATGCATGCGCATCCTATGGCGTGACTTGAGTTGACTCGACAAGGTTGTTTTTTAGTCAACTCAAAAGGAGCGGGCTGAAGTTTGAGCAATGCATGCGCATCCCTTGGTTTGTGTCTTTAGTCCTTAGGGAGATTGTAATGTGGGATGTGATGTGATGATGCTGTGCGAAAGTGGGATGCTACTACGTGCATTTCCGTTTATATCATTTGTGTTTCTGTAGTTGTTGTCATTGCTGTTCATGGGGCATTCTCACGGATTCTGTTGAATGTGCATTGGTAAATCTGGAATAATTGATGTCGTGTTATATGTGGGTTGCTCTGTATTGCATTTTAGTTTTATTTTTTAATTTCTACACCTCACTTCAACGTTCCTGCAACCCTCTGCCCATCCGCCCTTTTGCCCCTCTGCTCACCCTCTCAGACAGTGTCATCCTTCCTTGCGGGCCTGGGACTGAGCAAGTATACAGACCTGTTCGCGACCGAAGAGGTGATGTTTCTCCCCTCTCCTCGGCCCATACATGCATCCCGCTCTTGCACATACATTCAACCCCCGCCTTTCCCCCTTTCCTCTTCTTCCCCTCCCCTTCCCTTTTTCCCCGTTCAAAATTGCCAGAAACTAGGCCAGAAATCCAGTAGAAAAAAATATTGAAATCCAAACTGAGTTCAAGCAAGGTATCTAAGCCAAAACCTAAGCCAACATCTAGGCCATAGTTTAGGCCAGAATTCAGGCCAGAATAGAAGCGATAATGTGAAGTAATATCTAAGCCACCACAATATACGCCACATTTAAAGCTATAATTTGCGCCTGCTTCTCTATGGCCTCATTTTACGTATGCCAGCCATGCCCTCATAACTTCATGCACACATGCTGACATGCTCACATGCCCACATGCTCGCATACTCACATGCCCACGTGCCCACTTGCTGACGTGCTCACTGCATCACATGCCTACATGCTCGCATGCTCAAATGCTCACATTCCCACATGCTCACTTGCCCACTTCACCATCTGTTTTGCCTCTTGTTATTTCTATCTGCAGATTTTTTCTTCTTGTTACCTTCTTTTCCCCTCCCCGCTCCATCAGATAGACTTGCAGACTCTTCATCGCATGTCGGAAAATGACTTGAAGGAAATCGGCATCCCTATGGTAAGAATATCGCACTCACATGCATGCCCATGGTTGACTTTTGAGTTGACTCAAAGGTCAACTCCCTTCAGGTTGACTTGCAGACTCTTCGTTGCATGTCGGAAAATGACTTGAAGGAGATCGGCATCCCCAGGGTGAGAGCAGAGCATAGACACTCACATCACATGGATGCCCATGGTCAAAGCATGGTAGACATGCATTCCGATGTTGCATTTAAGGGCCCGTGTTGCTTGAATGTTGACGAGCTTTTCCACAAGGCACATTGTCCCCCAGAATTGAACGATTCCTTTTGTGCGCTTATATCATGTTTGTGCCCTCATATTGTTTAGTTGGTGCACCCCCTTGAGTGCTTCCAAGTCCCTTCGGAGAAGCATCCTTTAATACCCTGATTTCAAAAGCATGTGTAATCAAGCTTTTCCCCATGCCAACTTGTATGTTTGCAGGGCCCTCGTAAGAAGATTGTTCAAGCAAATGCGGCTGCTTAGGAAGGAAATTGAAGAAATGAGCTAAATCAATATGCAGAATCCTCATGAGGATGCTATTTTGTAAGTTAGGGGCATCTAATGAGATTCCTTACACCAGTATTTCAACGTTTTGCACTGGTTTGCGTTAGTTTATGACGAGCCGGAACCTCTCCCACGTGGGAAGCTTTGGCCACTTGTTCTTTGGTGTGATCTGCCCGCGATATCTAAATTTCAACTGACGGATCTGGAGGGCTGCTTCTTGACGGAGCAGAAACAGAATTTGGTGGACCACAAGGCAGAGCTAAGCGAAGCAGATTACACACGAGCGAAGCAGATTACGGGTAGTACACCCTGTTTCGCGCTAGCAGAGCATCTGGTTGCAGAACATGCACTGGTTGTAGAACGTCACCACGTTTGAAATGGTCTTATCACCGACGGTACAAGCACATTCACAAGAAAGCGGTTAGCTAGGATGCTGCATGGTAAAGAACATTAACCAAGCGTTTCAAAGCGGTTGAAAAGGGTATACAGCGATAAAGAAAAATTTTGCCCCCAGTACCACTCCGTCAGCTGGTGCGGCTTTGCCCGCAGGTTTCAGCCATACGGTTTATGGCACCTGACCGCACTGTAGCAGCGAATCGCGCAAGGTGAGAGGGTCGAGAAACAGGGTGTACACACAAGGAAACTCCACAGTTGGAAGAAAATGTTTCGGAAGTTGGGGGACCGTTTTTCACAACTCGGGCAGCTTTCTTTGCCGAATTAGGCTGTTACTGTACTGTAAAAGATCGAGGAGGTCGAGGTCCCACACCTCTCGACCACTTTCACCTCTACCCTCATTTAGCAGGTGACCCGGGATTAAAACCTAAATATTTAATACATATCCTAAGAAATGTACATGAGACGCGGCCTTACACTTCAATCACATCACACCACTGCTCGTGGCAGAACTGCCCATCGCAGGTGCTGCCCGCATTAAATTAGGACCAACGAACCACGCAATGATGCTTGAAACCTCAACCTCAGTCCCGACTCCCGTGTGGGCCTTGGTGTCTTGACGCCTGCATCCCAAAACTCTTAGGGCATCCAAAAAAAACTTCAACTCTTATGGAGCCTGGATGCATTTTCGGGATGGATCAACCCTAAAACGGATAACTTCCTGGTATTTAGGGTTCATGCCTCCCGAGTCGCATCTGTTTCCGAATGGGTAATATATTCTTTTCCAGTGCGTCTACGATCGGGTAGGTGATATTTATCACCCAGAATATAATATGCTATACGTACTCACGATTTGATCCGCCGAGATTTACTTCCAAAATAACGCAACGAGCGCGCTGTAGTAGAGGGAGGTCAAAATCCTTAATAGAAAACATGAATACACAATTTGGTTCTTCTAGCAAAATGTTTTTTTTTTTCCGGCTCGGCTTGTTCGCCAAGTCGGTTGGGCAGCTCTGGGCTGAGATCCTACGGTCGAGATTTACAGGTCCTACTTCGAACACTCCTCTGGCAATGTTCGGCCCCTGGTTGATCTTTTCCCCTCTAGGTTCCCGCTTTCCTTCTGGTCCCTACATTTGCCCACTGTCGGAAGAACACGCCAGCGCGTCCCGTCAACAATCTGAAACATTTTGCGCGCCAACTTCTGCTTCATATGGCTATTTTAATTCTGTAAAGTAGAATCTGAACACACCCCGGTGTGCCAACAGTTAGCTCAATAAAGAGTGTTGCACGCGAAGTTACCCTTCCCGTGCCACCTGGCGTTACCTGTGTTCGTCCCAAAAAACTCCGTCTCACTTGTGTTGGGAGGGACTTTGGAGCGCCGCCGAGTCTAGAGTCTAGGGTTACAGTAGTCAGGGGACTGAAACGGCCACCAGCCATTTTTTCAATGTCTCGGAACAGAATTGCTCTGATAGCTGCCTCGCTGGCAATAACTCATGATGATTGCGCGAGGGGCATTAATGGTGGCCTCTAAGAACATCGCACCGCGCGATAGGACGCGTATTTTTCGCAGCCAGCCTGGCTGAAGGACATTGGTCCGTCCTTGCTGCCTCCTATTCGCCGTCCAATCTCCGTAGCCATGGCCAGTGGTCGTATCTCATAAATCTCGGCCGCGCGAGTCGCGATAGGATGGCTGGACGGTTCTCAGAGTCGACTCAGAGTTGACGACGCCCGACGGACGCCCGACGGACGCCTGACGACGCCCGACGCGCTCTCCCGAGTCTCGACTCGTATCACATGATTGCCTGATTGACTCTCACTCACCTCACCTCAGCTCAGCTCGCCTCAACGGATGGCCACTCGTAACAGCAGTACTTGAGGAACGAGGGATGGTGGCTGGCTGGGAGAGAAGAAAATGTGAGAAATCTGCTATTAGTGCATACAAGCTTCCTTTGTGTCCTCTTGGGAGCCAAAGCGTCTGAGTGGTGATACCGATTTTGCCCGCGTGTGACCCGCCCTCGCAGCGCACATAGCCTCTTGATTTTGCCCCCTCGTCGTCTCGAATGTGGCCCTGGTTCCAGCAATACAGTAATATTTTCAGAAATATTTGGGTCCCTGATAGTAGTAGTGATTCCTCCGTAAATGAGCATCATTCGTCATGTGTCAGCACTCCGCTCTCCGAAATCTCGCCACGTCGCAGCCTTTCGCGCTGACGTGGATGACACCGCCGCCTGTGGCGGCGACGGCGGCGATCGACGGGGTCGCGCCTGCACCGCTTGATAATCGAGAGGGGTCTAGAGATTTCGCGTCAACGGACCGCTGCTTCTCCGCGCCTTTCTGGTCGTCGCCGCAAGAGTGCGTAACTGCTACAACTGGCTGTTGCCGCAATTCGAATCCGGCGCAGCCGCATCGCGTAGTACTACCGTCGCCGTCGTTAGCCGGCGTCGCCGTGGCCCCGCGGACGCCGCTTTCCCCAGCGCCACCGCCGTCGCCGTATCCTTACGGCGCCGCCGCCGCCGCCGCCGCTGCGGCGGCCTCCGCGGCTGCTGAAATGTCGAACGACGTCCCATCACGAAACCCTAACGTCTTTATTCCATCCACAGGCTGCATGATTACTACGGCGGCTGATAGTACTGCTAAGGCCGCCGGCGGGAACGGTCGCGTGGCTGCTCTCAGCCGGCAGAATCTGAGAAATTCAGGCGACCGTTTCATTCTTGGTAAACGCCACGGTGGACCGGAAATTGCTCGCTTCTCGGACCGCGTACCGCCGTTTTTTGCGGGCATTTCCGAGCTGCACGCGCGACAGGAGGGAACATCATTAGACCCGAAACAGACGATCCCTTTTGCACGCCGTCGTCTACCTAAAGCCGCCGCCGCGGTCGCTGTTGATGCCGCTGCTGCGAAATCACCGTCTCTCGCCGCCCACGGTGGCGGCTTTGCTACATCCACGTCAGCGGAAAATACTCTCCAACCAAGCGGCGCCGGGGCTGTCATTCCCCTAGGAACTACTACTAGTACCACTATTACTACTACTACTGAGGAGCAAAGCACCTGGCGCGGCCCGGTCCTGGAGGCGCGGTACCGACAACGCACGATGGAGGTTGCTAGGGAGACCGATCTGGAACCTCCGGCTATCACGGCGATGCATTGTGCTGCGGCGTCAGATTTCGTGGCGCAGCGATTCTCGCAGCATTTCGCACAGCATTTCGCGGAGCAATTTGCGCAGCAGCAATTCGCGCGGCATTTCGCGGAGCAGCAGTCGGCGAGGGATGAGGAGAACCGGCTCCTCCGCTCCTGCGGTGACGATAGCAGGCTGGCTGATGAGCGGCGGCAAGAGCAGCAGCAGCGGCAGCAGCAGCAACAACATCAGCAACAGCTGCTGCTACTGCTGCAGACCCAGCACAGACAGCAGGCCTTAGTGGCGAGTCAATGCGAAGGGCCTTGGAGGGTAAACAGCTTGGGCGGTGCGAGTTGGCCGGAGGCTGGTGCGCGGCAGAACACAATTGGGGGTGTGCGACAGGAAGAGCACGGCAGAGAGAAGCAGACGTCATTGGAGAAGGTGATTCTGCACTCTGTGCCGTGGTTCCAGGCGGAGCAGCAATGGGAGGCGGAGCATCATGCAGTTGACATGAATGGTACAAGTAGGAAGAGGCTGTGCAGAGAGGAGGAGAAGCTGTCGGCGCTGCTGCTGGCGTCCCACCAGGCCGTGATGCAGCAGCAGAGAGAGCAACTCGAGCTGCAGCAGAGGCAGAAGCTGGTGCTGGATCAAAGCCGAGAGCTGGCATGCTCGCTCGCCTCTCAACCAGAGCCGTGCACTGTTGCAGATCAGTATGTAGCTGCGAGTTTTACTTGTTCAGCAGGAGATGATCCTGCTTTTTTTGGTCCAGGGAAGGCCCCTGGAGCTTATGTAAACGCCGCTTCCTGTAGCGGCTTGACCACGACCAGTTTTGGGGGGATGAGCCCTCCTTCCCGTCCGCTATTGGATCTTAACCTTAGCCTTTCGCTGTCGTCCCTGAGCAGTGAAGAGATGCCGGAATCAACTGCTTGTTGACGATGCTTTATACATGGAAATAGTGTTTTGGTAGTACTCGAGTCTGTAGTCAGATAATAATCTAGGGATTTTACTATATTAATTATAAAGCTGGAAGGGGGTATTGGTCATGTAAGCTCAGACCTATAATGCTTGCAGGTACTGGTATGAATGCTCTGAAGCACAGACCTAAAGCACTACAGCATACATCTTGTGGTGGAGCGCATGTGCTAATGGTTCCCAAATTTGGCCGACGCGCGCGAAGTCCCCACGCGGTAATCGACAGTGGCAGACTCCCGAATGCATCAATCCGAATCTGTCTTCATTTGTCGTTGAAAAGTGACGGCCAGCAGTGCCTCCATCGGCAGAAATTCATCGTCCAGCCAATTGAATTGCACCCGATTCTTGTGGCACGACACTGACAGCAGCGCGAACCAAGGCTGACAGAAGGAACCTGCCCACAACCTTAAAACTGTCGTGCACCAATCGGCGCAGTCATACCACCATCCCCCTCCCCTCGCCTTGGTTACCGCCTCCTCCATATGCAAGCTGTGCGACCCGTCGCATCCCTACCTCACGTGCATTTCTCCCACCGAATATTGCTGCCACTCTCTCTTGCGACAGACAGCCCAACCTTCATGTGTCGCATACCCATCCCCAAGCTATGTTTTGCCTGTCGCAAGCAGCACAAATGTGTGGAGGAATATTCTAGCTTTCGCCTGAGCTTCGCTTCGTCATCAGTCTCAGCTCCAAAAATATAGCCGTTGAACTCGGCACCAAAGATAATCTCGAGGACGTGTTTCCTGGAGAGCAGCCAGGGATCCTGCTGCCAGGGTAGGAGCCTATTGTTTGTTCCAACTGATCAAGCAGATCTCCCCTCCTGCCCAGCATAGCGCGCGAACGAGGCCCAGCTTGGGTGCCGGCGAGCATACCAAGCGCTCTTCGTCGAGCCGCCGAGTTCCTGCCCAACCAGGAGTAAGTTAAAGCTGGTTATTTTTATCTATCTATTTATTTACTTCGCGTGCTTGATTCATCTTTTTTGTTATCCGTGGCCTAGTTGGAAATGAGTTAATATTTACCAATAGAATTTCTTTCTCGGAGGAAGTCCACCTCCAACATTCGCCCGCTCGCTGTACCCTTTTTTGCTTCTTATGTTGTATAAACGCACTTTATCAGCCTTCACTTTTTTCTCGTCGTCCCCTTTCCTCTGGTCCTCACCGTCCTCCGCTTCGCCTCCCCTCGCCTTCCACCGCTCCCTTCCTTTCTCCTCATTCTGCGCCGCTGAACCTCTTCCTACTGTCAGCTCAACCGCCGCAAACAAAATGTCGTCCGCTCCGCCTACCGGCGGCAGCGGCAGCGGCGGCGGCGGTGGCGGCGGCGATCGCGGTGTGCAGCCGATGAGCCTGAAGGAGGTTCAGGAGCGAATCGACCAGCTCTACGGTGACCGGAGCGCGAAGAACCTTCGCGAAGGCATCCGAAAAGGCTTTATTTCCGTCGGAAAGGGTGTCTTCGCCGGCGTCGGCGCGCTCGTCGCGGCGCCTATCGCGGGCGCTGCGCAGGAGGGCGGGATCGGGCTGGTTAAAGGGACCGTGGCGGGGGTGGCTAGTCTCGTCGTGTTGCCTACTATAGGAATAGTACAAGGCGCGCAGCAGTTAGGACAGGGGATTAAGAACATGCCGGACGCGGTTCGGGAGATGATGAAGAAGGATAAGTGCGAGGAGGAGGCGGAAAAAGGGGAGATTCTGGAAGATCCAGACGTGGATAAGCTTAACGAACAGACGTATTCGCACACGCGCGAAACTGTCGAGAAAATCGCGCTCGAAACGGAAACAGAGGAGGCGACCGCCACGTCAGCGGCGAAGGCTGCTGCCGACGAAGCAGCCGCCACGACAGCCGCGGAAGCGGCGGCCGCGGCGGAGAAGAAGGGGGAGAAGAGGGAGGTTAAGGACGAGGCGCTGTACCTGGTTCTGGAGGTCGCGACGGACGCGTCGTCCGTGGAGATTAAAAAGGCGTACTACAAGGTGCGTGCTGGGGGAGGGGGGAGGAAGGGGCGGTGAGGGGAGAGGGGAAGCGGGGGTGTGGGGGATTGGGGAGGGGAGGGGAGGAGGAGAGGAGGAGAGGAAGAGGGGGAAAGCGGAGGAGACGCTTAGTGGGGGTATTGTGACGTGCATGGGTGGATGATATAAACGGTGCCAGGGTTGCTTTTGAGAATTCCCAAGAGTAACACACACCAATATATTGGTGACAGACTGGGTTGTTGATCTGGACGCCCCTGCGTGTGTGTGACATGTTCTTCAAAGCAGCACAAACCCTCCCACACTCCCTTCCCACCCAAACCCTCTCCTCAACCTCCTGCCTCCTCACTTATACCGTGTCTGCAGCTAGTGCGTGCATGCCATCCCTCCCTTAACCTCTCTTCCTTCCCCGCCTTTCCACGCACGGTTCCACCACTATCTCGTCCCCTTTTCCTCTATCCCCTCTCTGCAGCTAGCGCGCACGTGACATCCGGATAAAAACCCAGGCGCCGAGAGCGCCAAGGCCAAGTTCCAGGCGGTGGGCGAGGCCTATCAAGTCCTCATGGACCCCGCCAAGCGCGAGCAGTACGACCGCTAACCTAGTGCATACGTGCCATCCCTTCCTTGACCTCCTTTCCCTCTCCACCACTCCGCGCGTGCCACTACCCCTATCTCGTCCCCCTTTCCTCAATCCCCCCTCCGCAGCTAGCGCGCACGTGCCATCCCGACAAGAACCCGGGGGATGAAACCGCCAAGGCCAAGTTCCAAGCTGTCGGTGAAGCCTACCAAGTCCTCATGGACCCCGCCAAGCGCGAGCAGTACGACCGCTTCGGCCGCGCCGCGCTCGAAGACACCTTCATGGACCCCGGGTCCTTCTTCACCATGGCCTTCGGTGCAGAGCGGTTCAAACCGCTTGTAGGGGAGTTGACTGTGGCGTACACAGCGGCGGGGAATCTGACGGTGGAGGAGGTGAAGCGGTGGCAGGCGCGGCGTGAGAGGGAGCTCGCGGACGGGCTGCTGAAGCGGCTGGGGCTGTGGTTGAAGGGGGATGAAGAGGGGTTTGTAAGGGAGGCTGTGAAGCAGGTGGATGAGCTCAAAGGGGAGGCGTTTGGTGTAGCGTTCCTGCACTGTATCGGGTACGTGAAGTGGGGCTGGATTGAGTAGGTATTTCTTGAGTCGACTCAAAAGGAGGGGTTTGTGAGGGTGGCGGTGAAGCAGGTGGACGAGCTCAAAGGCGAGGCGTTTGGTGTCGCGTTCCTGCACTGTATCGGGTAAGTGGTTTTTTAGTGTCTGGTGTGCACTACTCGCGGGCGCTGGCGCTTCTAGGGCTCACAGATATGCTCACCCTAATCATATTATCTCGTTCCCCTTCTCTCTACTCCACCCCTCCCCCATCAGCTACACGTACCACTCGCACGCGCTGGCGCTTCTAGGGCTCACAGATATGCTCGGCATCCTTGGCTTCGTGAACACACCCTATGTTCTCCTTCCTGCCGTGCTGCACCTCCCCTTGCTCTCGTTCCCCACCCGCCCCCCTGTTCCACCCCCTCCCCCCATCAGGTACACGTACTACTCACGAGCGCAGGTGCTGCTAGGGCTTACAGAGTTGCTGGGCATTCCCGGCTTTGTGAACGCAGTGAAGGAATCGGGGCACACCATGAAGACCCGGTACAATGCAGTTGATGCGGCACTTAAGTAAGTGAATCCGTTACTGAGTCTCTTACAGGGATTCAGAGCATTAAAGTAGGAGTCGGGGCACTCCATGAAGACATGATACAACAACGCCCGACGCAGCTCTAAGTGCCTCAGGGAGGCTATAGTCTCATCAATCAGTTGTCGGGAACTCACCATCAAGACTCGCTGTGGATGCGGCACTTAAGTAAGTACTGAGAGCTTGGGAATCGGGTATTCTGAAATAGGAGTTCGGGCACACCTTGGAGACTTCCAACGCTGTCGACGCGGCACTGTGAGTCTTGGAGTCAGAAATTTACTGTAGAAATCAAACTAAAAAAAATGAAGTCAAAGCGCACTGTGCTTAACTGAATGTCCAGAAATCTGCTCGTTGATCTCTTTTTGAGTCTGGACACGCTATGGGAAAGGCAATTTTTTATGCTGAACCCGCTTGTATAATGAACACGCAAGTCTGGGCATACAATAAGCTGCAGCTGGCATATATAACCCAGTCACAACCAGCTGGTGTTTTTGAGAATTCCCCAAAACACCTGGCACAAGTCCAATTGTTCCCCTGAGGATCATTTGCAGCACTTAAGAGCGGGTGCTGCTCTTCTCTGCAGCCCAGTCAGTGCGGAGCCTTTTGAGTCGACTCAAATGTCACGGCCTCTCTATCCCTCTTCACCACCATTGATTGTTCCGGGTGTTTGCTCTTCCTCCAGTTTTCCTCCCTTGTTTTCCCAGTTTCTCTTGTCCCTCTCGCTCATCCCACCCACCCTCTCGCTCAACCAACAGGCTGCCAGAAATGAAGGTCAACAGGGACCCTCCAACCCGCCTAACTCTCTCTCTTCCTCCTCCTCCTGCTCACCCCTCAGGCTATCAGAGATGAAGGTCAACAGGGACCCTCAGAAGCCAGCCAGCAAACACCAGTTTTGAGGCGCCTCAAAACCAGCCAGCGAACACCAGTAACAACAGTTCCTGGTTCTTGCTCTTCCTCTAATCCCACTCCTCTCGCCTCTCTACTATTTCTCCTGCCCATGCGCAAACCACCCCTCAGGCTATCAGAGATGAAGGTCAACATGGACCCTCAGAAGCCTGCTAGCGAGCAAGCAGCACCATTCATGGTTCTTCCCCGTCTGCTCTTCTTCCACCAATCCTCCTGCCTGCCCCCTTCCCCTCCCGCTCACCCCTCAGGCTATCAGAGATGAAGGTCAACATGGACCCTCAGAAGCCTGCTAGCGAGCAGCCCAACATGCCCGAGTTCCTCAACTCCGTCTGGATGGTCAGTGCATGCACCCCCTTCTGTCTGGATGGTCAGTGCATGCACCCCCTTCTGTCTGGATGGTCAGTGCATGCACCCCCTTCTGTCTGGATGGTCAGTGCATGCACCCCCTTCTGTCTGGATGGTCAGTGCATGCACCCCTTTTGGTCTTGCTGACTTGTGAGTCGATTCAAAAGTCTCTTCCCAGTGAGCAGCCCAACATGCCAGAGTTCCTGAACTCCGTCTGGATGGTCAGTGATTTTCTCTTGTGTGTAAGATGTCAAATTACGCGGGTTTTTTTTTCTTTACTTTTCTTCTGCCAAAAAAAAAAAAAACAATTACAAAAAAAAGTATAACCAAATCAGCACTCTTCGGCGTGTGCATTTCAGCATCCCATTTTTGAGATTTATCTTGGAAAGAAACAGAGTGGTTTTCAAATGCTTCCAACACTTTTTTTAATGGATATTAAAAAGACGATGCATTTCAAATTAATATTGAGAAAACGTCTCATCACTAAGCACAATCCTCTCCTTTCCCCCACTCCATCCCTCTTCATATTTTTTTTTCAGATAAGCGTGCTGGACATAGAGAGTACACTGCGGCACGTGGTGGAGCTTGTAGTGAAAGACAAGACAGCTTCTAAGGAGGAAAGAAAGAAGAGGGCCAGCGGCATCATGCGACTGGGGAAGATTTTCCAAGGGGTGTGAGAGAAAAGGGTTGTGAGTGAAGATTTTTCAGAGGGATTCATTCACGGTGGTACACCACCAGTCCACCGGATCAATAAGTGGTCTCAGCCAACATGGATAGGCAGGCCGCAGCAGATGCTTTCTAGATAGGTTCCTTCCAGGAACCATCCTACGAGTATCAAGGGCACCAGCGAAGCAGCAAGAGGGTGCCTGATTGCCCAAGAAGCAGAGACGGGCATGTGGGGCTGGGACCTGGGAGCTTGCAGAGCATTGCTGAGATCATTGTTGAGGGCGCCGTAGAAGGGAACAGCAGCGCCTTAAATAATGCCCTGACCAACTGCAGCGATGGTTTAGTACCATATCTATATGGCCTGGACACATGCAGAGCAGTGCTGGCATAATTGTTGGGGCACCACTTAAAAATGCCTGACTATGGTCACTTGGCAGCAGTGGTTTAGTATCTGGATTGGAGCAGGCCAGTTGGCAATGGCATGCCTCCATTATGTCTTTGCTTAGGTGTGTTTAGGAAGGGTGAGGGTGAGGGTACATAGCTTGAGCTTGTAATATAGATTGCAGCTACATTCATATCGGTACATTCCTATTGAAAAAGCTTTGCCTGACCCACACAACACCAGTACCGAGTATGACCTAGTGTGACCATAAGACCACCTCAAAACTGTATTCTTGGCCATTCTTGACCACTCGTGACCGCTCTTAGGTACTCTTTGATCACTTCTGATAACTCTTGACGACGGAAGCGGAGGTGTACCCATTGAGTGTTCCGTCAGTGTGCCTCCTCTTCTTCCCCTGGGCACATGCTTGCAAGGGCCTCCTCACTCTCGTACTGCTCACACAGCGGAGAGGGGGTGGCGGGGAAGAGAGGGGCTGAAGAGTTCTTTAAGAGGTCTCAAAACTTCCCACCAGGCACATGCTTGCAAGGGCCTCCTCACTCTCATACTGCACGCGGCAGCAGAGGGGTGGGGGGAAGGAGGGTGGAACGGGGAAGGGGAGCGGAAGGGAGATGTTGTGTCCCTGTTGTGCAAGTCAGTACAGACGCTGCTGCTGTTGGTTGACTGCTTCAGGATGTGAATTGGCACAAATTGCGTCAGCACAATAACGTGTCAGCACAATAACGTGTCGGCACAATAACGTGTCAGCACAATAACGTGTCGGCACAACAACGTGTCGGCACAATAACATGTCGGCACAATAACGTGTCAGCACAATAACGTGTCAGCACAATAACGTGTCAGCACAATAACGTGTCAGCACAATAACGTGTCAGCACAATTGCGTCAGCACAATAGCGTGTCAGCAAGAGCTTCCATTGACTCACACGGAAACAACACGATGCAGGCCAAGGAACGAGCATTTCTGGCTGCAGGTTAAGACCTTACCGACTCAATGCACCTGGCAGCAACAGAGCACCCTCCTGGCAGCAACAGAGCACCCTCCTGGCAGCAACAGAGCACCCTCCTGGCAGCAACAGAGCACCCTCCTGGCAGCAACAGAGCACCCTCCTGGCAGCAACAGAGCACCCTCCTGGCAGCAACAGAGCACCCTCCTGGCAGCAACAGAGCACCCACCTGACAGCCATAGTGTATGCAGTAGAAATGCTTCTGTCGCAGGCGATGCGGTGACTTTTGAGTCGACTCAAAGGCTATCTCTTAACAGAGCACCCACCTGACAGCCACAGTGTATGCAGTACAAGTGCTTCTGTCGCAGGCGATGCAGTGCGAGCAGCAGAAGCTGCGGGGGACGGCAGGGAGGGAGGGGAGCAGGAGATGGCAGGGCGGAGGGCGAAAGAAGGTAAGGATGAGGGTAAAGTCACATCACAGTGTGCGCAGTAGAAATGCTTGTGCCGCAGCTGATGCAGTGCGAGCAGGAGAAGCTGTGAGGGACGGCAGGGAGGATGGAGGACAATACACAGCTGAACTGTTAAATTGCAAGCGCAGCTGCAAGATCAAAATCACAGTGCATCACAATACTTTAGAAGTGCTTCTGTCGCAGCCGATGCACTGTGAGAAGGAGAAGCTGCGAGCGACGGCAGGGAGGGAGGGGAGAAGGATATTGGGGGGAGGGAAGGTAGCAGGAGATGGCAGGGAGGAAGGAGAGAGGAAGGAAGTATGAGGGTAAAGTCACATCAGAGTGTACGCAGTAGAAATGCTTCTGCTGCGGCCGATGCAATGCGTGCAGGAGAAGCTGCGAGGGATGGCAGGGAGGAGGAGGGCGACGTGACACACAGATGGACCCCTAAATTACATGTGAGGCACTTTTGAAGGTTGCACGTGCATAATCAACTCTGAGAGTTCTTAAGAAACAACTGATTGCACGTGCAGAGCCACTCTTGAGATCGCTCGCTACTGTGACACAATGATGACCCACCTCTTCAGAAACAATGTCTTCTAGAGGAACCTCCTCCGTCTCCCCTCCCTCTCCCCCCTCCCCATCCTCCTCCCCCCCTCCTCTTCTTCCTTCTACCTCCGTTGCATCTCCCCTCCTCTCTTCCACCTCCTCCCACTCCTCATCACTCACACCATCAGCATCACACTCTGTGACTATTCGTTTCTTTCTCACTCTCCTCCTCCTGCCCCATCCCCTCTCCGCACCAACCCCTCTCTCCATAGCACCAGCACCACGACTCAAAGCAGCAGCAGCAGCACCACCACCACGACCACCAAAACCAGCCCCATCCAACTGAGCACCACCAGAAGCAGCAGCAACAGCAGGAGAAGCACCAGAGGAGGAGGAAGCAGCGCCAGTCCGCAAGGCCTGGCTCCTAAGCCACTCCTCCCCGCCTTCCAGATGCACCAGAGCCGTTCTCGCCTTCCTCAACCCGCTTCCTCCTCCTCCATGACTATCCGTGGAGGAAGGAGCAGCGCCAATCCGCACAGCCTGGCTTCGAAGCCACTCCTCTCCCCCTTCCAGGTGCACCAGGGCCGTCCTCGCCTTCCTCAACGCCCCCCGCACCTTCCACTCGCTCCACCTGCCCTTCCTCCTCTCCTCAAAATCCCCTCGCAGCGCCTCCTCGCCTCTCCGCCTCACCCGCGCTGCTGCCTCTGCTCTCAACAGCTTCTGCCTCTCCGCTTCTTCCTCCTCCTCCTCCTTCCCCAGCCCTTTCCTGTCCCGTTTTAAGCTCAACGCAACAGGTTCCACCCACACGAGAGGTTTTCGGTTGGGCGCGGTTGCAGGTACTCCTGACTCCCCTAGGTTGTCCTCGATACTAGCTTCCCCTGTACTCTCTGCAGGTCGCTGGTCACTGCAGTATTCCCCAACGCGGGTTGTAAGTGACCGGCTGCTGCCAGCCTCAGTGACTAACGTTTTCTCTCTTTCCCCCGTCACGTCTCCCCCCGTGCACTCTGCTTTCCCCCTCTCCCTGCTTGTCTCTCTCCCCGCCGTCACCCCACTCTCCTCCCCCACTCTCGCCCCGTCCCCTCTATGTCGCTCCCCCCTGATTTCCGCCACCCCCATCTTCCCCGCGGACGAAAACCCCGCCATTCCGCCCGTCCGTTCCGCCTCAGGAGGCCCCTTAAAGCCCATCTTCTGCAGCAGTTTGAAGCCGATGTTCGAAGGCGGTATGGGCGCCGCGAGGCCTTCCGCGAGTACCGCCGCCTCCGCCTTGTCCTTCTCCTCGCGTACCTGCTGCCGCCGCTCCTGCCACGTCAGCCTTTTCCAATCGTCTGGCCGCTGACGTGGTGCAGGCTTGGGCAGCTTTTTTTGCCGCTCCTGCTGCTGATCGCGTAGCTTCGACGCATCTTCCGGCGGCAAGAAGGCCGAGAGATCGCCCATGTAATCTTCCACGTCAGCATCGCCGCTGGGCGCTGCTGCCGCCATTGATCTACGTACGCGATGTAAAGCGAATCTTGCCAACAGTAAAATTCGTATACCACTTTTAAATCGAGTCGAAAGTCGCCCAGTTGCGCCGTCGTCGATCACAACGCACGCAATTCTGATTTGGATACTTTAATGGCCTCGCTTCTAAACGAGCATACAGTAGCCGAGCCAATAGCCTGTTCTTGTCGTTTCGCAATTCACGAAATATGAGTCGAAAAACTGGGACTGGTGAGAAGAAGCGAATGAATCCAGTACACTGAAACCAAGTGCATGTGATGCCAGTGGCTCAACCATGTGGTTTCAAATTTCGCATATCCCACAAAACATTTTTATGCAAAATCTAACTTTGTTTAAATTTTGCTGTCGACAAAGAAATTGTCCTTCGGGACATCCGTTAAAATTGGAACGATACAGAGAAGATTAGCATGGCCCCTGCGCAAGGATGACACGCACAAATCGAGAAATGGTCCAAATTTTTTTGGCGACCTGATGGAGCACGTCGACCAATCACAGCACACCTTCCTCCCCACAACATTCCCACGCTGCATGCCGTGTGAATTCCGAGCGGGAATTCAGCCCACCATTTTCCATGCGTGCCATTTCTCAAAATTCCATGCGTCCCATTTTTCTCTAGAAACGCACTTCCGCAAGCGCAACAGTCCTCCCACCTATTTCCCAGGCTTCAGCCACATTCGCACGCGACTTCTCTATGTCCGCTGCGGTACTTCCCAGTTCTTTCTTCAGCCGCTCTGCCATTTTCTTCTCAAGGAGCAGTAGGCTGGTTGGCTGTATCGTCCGCTCATCCCCCTCCTCCCTCACATCTTCCATCAAACGTTCATCTATTCCATTCCCTGGTCGACGCGGCTCGAAACCTCCCCTTCGCCCTGCTCGCCGGCCATTTTCAAATCCCACCACCGTCGCCATGTATCAGAATCCGAGTCAATCCGCGAGTCCGAATTCCCCCAACTCGTTGCGACAAAACCAAGATCTTCCAGAGTTTCCCAACCCGTTCGACAATGCCGGAGATTTCGAGCTTGGCTTTCCCGTGCGGAGCCTTAAGGAGCTGCTGCTGTGTCGCGTCATGGGTCAGATTCGGGAGAAGCCGGTTTGGATCCGAAAGGTGACGGACGACAAAATTGTCAAGAAATGGAAGGCGGAGTTGACGGAGCCGGCAGCGGACGTCCATCCTGACGGTTTCATCGACGCCAGCAAGGAGTACTGGACTGCGGAGGAAGCTTCCGCCGTGCTTTCGTTCCTGAGAGAGACTACAACGCGGCCTGTCAAGGTGATCCGCGCCCGATGTGAGTGAATCCTCCGTCTTCCTTAAGAACCGTTTATAAACTATTATTATTATTATTTTCAGCCTTCGTTTTCTCCTTCTCGTGTAATAGCAGCAGTTGCCAGCCTAGAATTTCGCTCTCTGACCACAGCCTCCAAGCCTTTTCACTCTCCGTTTCCGCCTCTCTGTCTCTTCACTCGTGAATTTCTGCATTGACCTTCTCTCCATCCCGCACTATCCCTCACCTCTCTCCCTATCTCTCTCCCTCTCTTTGTCTCTCCCCTCCCTCTCCCAGATCGACCCTGCTCTCTTCACCTACGCAATCTCTGAGCTACGCTGGCTCGCCTCCTCCCTCTCCTCCTCCTCCTCCTCCTCCTCCTCCTCCTCCTCCTCCTCCTCCTCCTCCTCCTCCTCCTCCTCGTCCTCCCCTCCCTCTTCTCCACTCTCCTCTCTCTCCCTCCACGGCAATCCCAAGGTGCTCCCATCCGCAGCAGACGGCGTGTTCATCTCCCCAGACCCCCCACTCGACCCCTCACTCAAGCAACTCTTTCTAGACGGAATCACCTCTCTAGAATCAGTTACTGAGGATCAAATCGACTACCACCCGGGATCAAATCACCAAGTGATCGATCTCATTCACCCCAGCCTGCATTGCCTGGTCGTTGGTCGCACTAGAGTTATCCAGGATCCGCCCAACGACCTTCAGATTCTTCCCTGGGATGAGCTGGTTAGCAGCTTGGGGGAAGTCGCTCGGCCTATGCCGCCCAGTCAGCCGACCCGGCAGGTGTATTACCCAACCGGGAATCATTCATACCTTTCAGAAAAGTTTCAGTGGCTACCCGCAGAGGTGGACGTTGCTGCGGACGGGCAGAGTGCGAAGTTTCGGTCGTATATTAATAATTTGCACCCGCATGAGTTTGCGGGGATGTACCGGGGTCTGGAGCATATTTTCGCCACAGCGTTTGTGCCGTTGTTTAACAAAGTGCTGACAGAAGCAGTTCAGCAGCGACGAGAGCGATTCGACTACGATATTTACGGGTAAGTTCATCAAGTTTGTGTGCCCCCCTTTCTTCATAGGGGGTTCAATGGTGGAACATGTAATGGTGTATTGTTTTTGGATCGATAAAATTGTTTGTTTTCCTATGTCGACATGTTTCTCTTCAATGCACTAATTTCACTTTACATCTACCCTCACCTTCTGCCGTGCCGCCCACCAGGTGGTACGACGGGTGGAAGGGCGAGAGGGAATACGACAAGGAGGACGATGATGACTACCACCAGTGGCTGGTGGACCGGCAGCCCTTGACCTGCTTCAAGTCCCCCTGTTCCCATCTTTCAGCTGTGCCTCTACCCACCCGCCAGTTGGTACGACGACGTCTGTTCCCATCTTTCAGCTGTGCCTCTACCCACCCGCCAGTTGGTACGACGAGTGGAAGGGCGAGAGGGAGTACGACAGGGAGGATGAAGACGACTAGCAGTGCAAGCCGTGCCCTCCAAGGCTTCCTGTTCCCACTGTGCCTCTGTCCATTACCGTCTGTTCCCACTGTGCCTCTGTCCATTACCGTCTGTTCCCACTGTGCCTCTGTCCATTACCGTCTGTTCCCACTGTGCCTCTGTCCATTACCGTCTGTTCCCACTGTGCCTCTGTCCATTACCGTCTGTTCCCACTGTGCCTCTGTCCATTACCGTCTGTTCCCACTGTGCCTCTGTCCATTACCGTCTGTTCCCACTGTGCCTCTGTCCATTACCGTCTGTTCCCACTGTGCCTCTGTCCATTACCGTCTGTTCCCACTGTGCCTCTGTCCATTACCGTCTGTTCCCACTGTGCCTCTGTCCATTACCGTCTGTTTCCCACTCCTGTACCAGGTGGTACGATGAGTGGAAGGGCGAGAGAGAATACGACAAGGACGACGACGACGACTACCACCAGTGGCTGGTGGACCGGCAGCCCAAGCAGCCAGACACCCCTGCAGAGTTCTCCCCCCCACAGCCTCCCTCCCCCGGGCACGTGGTGGACCTGAAAGGGCGGCGACTGCAGGTGGTGGTGAAGGTGGCAAGCATTCAGCTGACCCCTGACAGCCCGAAGTATCCTGGGGGTACTTGGCATGTGGAGGGCATGCGGAATGAGCATATTGTGGTGAGCTCTTGCGGTTGTGAGGGATGGGAAGGAGTGGGCGCAGGTGGTGGTGAAGGTGGCGAGCATGCAACTCACCCCTGAGAGCCCGCGATAACCTGGGGGTACTTGGCATGTGGAGGGCATGCGGAATGAGCATATTGTGGTGAGCTTTTGCGGTTGTGAGGGATGGGAAGGAGTGGGCGCAGGTGGTGGTGAAGGTGGCGAGCATTCAGCTGACCCCTGAGAGCCCGAGATAACCTGGGGGTACTTGGCATGTGGAGGGCATGAGGAATGAGCATACTGTGGTGAGTGAAGGGATAGAGGGTGTGAGGGATGGAAAGGAGTGAGCTGTGGTGGAGGTGAGGGAGCGACGAGTGCAGGTGGTGGTGAAGGTGGCGAGCATTCGACTTACCCCTGAAAGCCCGAGATAACCTGGGGGTACTTGGCATGTGGAGGGCATGAGGAATGAGCATATTGTGGTGAGTGGATACGAGGCGGTAAGTGAGGGGGAGGGGATTGGATGGGAGGAGAGGGGAGGGGAGGGAAGGGGAGGGTTGTGTATAGATGTACCGATAGGAATATATTGGACCGATTTCCACTGATATTGTTTTTCCCCCATATCCCTCTCTCAGATCACACCCTCCCTTCCCTCCCATTTTCCCATTCTCGTCCCCTTTTTCCCCTTCCGCGTCCGTTCCCCCACCCTATCCCGTTTTCCCTCCCCATTCCCCTTCCCCCAGGCCACGTGCATATACTACTTTGACTCTCACAACCTCACGGAGTCGCACTTTCAGTTCAGGATCACTTTTTCCGAACCAGACTATGATCAGAACGACACCAAAAGCATGCCATAACACCTCTATATCCTCCCCTCCACTCCCATTTTTCCCTTCCCCTTCTCCTTTCCCCCTTCCCCTCCCCATTTCCCCCCTCCCATCCCGTTTTCCCTCCTCGTTTCCCCCTCCCTATCCCGTTCTCCCTCCCGTTTTCCCGTCCCCCAGGCCACGGGAATCTATTACTTTAACTCTCACAACATCACCGAGCCGCGCCTTCAGTTTAGAATCACCGTTCCCGAACCAGACTACGATCAGAACGACAACAAAGCATGCGATAACACCTCTATATCATCCCCTCCACTCCCATTTTTCCCTTCCCCTTCCCTTCCCCATCTTTCCGTCCCCCAGGCCACAGGCATTTACTATTTCGACTCTCACAACATCACCGAGTCGCGCCTTCAATTCAGGATCACCGTTGCCGAACCAGACTACGACCAGAACGACAACAAAGGGGTGGCTCGGATATACGGCCTGGTGGACGACGGACCTCTCACGCAACCTCTAGGCTCGGTCCGGACTGACATCCCGAACCTCTGCCTCGCCTTCCCGAACCACTTCCACCACCGGGTTGCGCCGTTCGAGCTACAGGACGAAACCCGTGCCGGCCACCGGAAGATTCTTGTCTTTTTCCTGGTGGATCCGCGGGTGGCAATCGTATCCACTGCACGCGTGCCACCTCAGCAGCTGAGCTGGCAGAGGAGGGAGCTGGAGAGAAAAGGCCACCCGTGCTCGGTCCTGCCTGGGTTAGCTCTAGATCTGATTGCAGAGGGAGTGAGTGGGGGAGAGCATGGGGAAGAGGGTAAGGGAGAAAGTAGTGGTGTGGAGCGAGGTGGGGAGGAGGGTAGGGTTGATGAGGGAGAGGATGGAGGCGAGGGGCAGGGTGTGGGGAGAGAGAGCAGGGATGGCAGGGGTGCAGCGATGACGATGGAAGAAGCAAAGAAGTACCGGGAGGCTCTGATGGAAGAGAGGAAGGCGCTGGTTCAGCTGGCCAATGAGGAGTTGTTTGAACGGCCCTTCTCGCTCTGCGAGCACTGATGGTGGAAAGTAAATATTATAAGACAGCTGTCGTATATGGTATAATGAATCAGCTGTTAGGAGGTTGCTGTTCAGCTGGGAATGATGAGCTCTTTGTGCAGCCTTTCTCCCTGTGTGAGCACTAATAGCAGGGATGTGCTCTGCCCACGTGTCCCCTTGCTTCTGATGTCTTACTTTCCTTCCCCTCTGTATGTGCCCTTTTGTCCCTCCTCGCATGCCCCCCCTGCCCCCCTGTCTAACACCAGCATCAGGGCTCTAGGAGAGAGTGATCTAGACCTTCAGCTACAGGGGGAAAAATTCTCATGATATCAGCAGCACACTACAGAATAGATATTTACGCTGCGCGTCTGTACAATACATCACATAGCACACACCCTTGTGTTCAAGAGCATTTCAACATAAACCTATATTTTCATGTATTTGCAGGTCTAACGTACTCCTACAATTTTATATCCTGTGAGAGGAATGAATGTGCTGTTAGATTTATTTATCTCTGTTACGTGTGCAATTGAGTGAAGGAACGAGAATTGCACTATCGAAGCAAAAGTACAATGAGCGAAGACATGAGCGAAGGATTATATAGCGAAACAATAGTGGTAACGGTAATGGACTGTGGTTGTCGCGCGTCGAGCCTGGGACTGAGGTTGGGAAAGTGTCGAAGCGTAGGCCCGGAGCGCGGGTTACCAGCCGAGCCGTGAGGTCGGGATGCGATGTGCGAAAAAGGCGGGATGATGAATGATGCGATGGTCGCGAGTGGTAACGGTGCTGACTGAGGTGCTACAGTGACGTACGCGCTGGGCAGGGACGCGAAGTAAGGAAAAAGAGAATTTCCTTACACTACCCCCCTCCCCAAGGAGGCCCCTCTTACGAGAGCGCATGGACGTCGCGGAAATTTCGGCTTCGCAGATACTCGGTGAAGACAGGGTGGTTCTCAATTTTATCCAGGGGGACCCAGTTGTCTTCTGTTGGCGTTCGGTCCTTCCAGCGAATTAGGAACTCGATCCTTCGGGCTCCCCTAGGGTCGCGGACGCGGTGGCTGAGGATTTTTTCAGGGGTGATGAGTGGTTCGGTTGGGGGACGTGTCATGCTGGCTGGGCGATTTCGTGGCAGTTGGCTCGTGGATGGGATGTAAGGGCGAAGTAGGCTGACGTGGAATGACGGGCTGACGTACCAGTCAGCGGGGAGGAGGAGGTGGGCGGTGACGGGTGTGATCATGTGGCTGATGCGAAATGGCCCACAATATCGGGGGCGAAGTTTTGGAGTGATGGGCAGGCGAAGGTTCTGAGTGTCGAGTAAAACGAGGTCGTCGGGCTGATAAGTAACGGGTCTGCGATGTCGATCGGCGTTGCGTTTAGCGATGATGTTTGATTTTTTTATTGCTTCTGCTGCCCTGGTCCGTGCTGCCTGCAGAATCTCGGCGAACTGTTGTGCTCGTGGGACGGGGTTGTCGGGATTCGGTGTCATGGGTACTGTTGGGTCCTGTCCGTAATTTAGATAAAACGGCGACTGTTGCGTCGTGGCTGATGGTGCGTTATTGTATGCGAACTCAATGAGTGGCAGTTGCTGTTCCCACGTATTCGGGTCGTCGCACGTGGCTCGAATCAGCTGCTCCATGGTCTGATTTGTCCGTTCCGTCTGTCCGTCGGTTTCGGGGTGATAGGATGAACTGAACTGTAAGCGCGTGCCGAACTGCTGCCATAGGTTCCGCCAGAAGTTGCTGGTGAATTTCGTGTCCCTGTCGCTGATGATCGACGCGGGTATCCCGTGCAGGCGTACGACGGTGGAGATGAATAGTCGGGCGGTTTCCTCGGCTGTGATGGATTTCCTGCATGCTGCGAAATGAGCCATTTTCGTTAGTCGATCGACGACGACCAGGATCGCGTCATTCCCACTCGCCCCAGCTGGTAACCCCGTGACGAAGTCCATCGTCACCTGCTGCCAAGCACGCTCTGGAGGCGGGATGGGTTGTAATTGCCCTGCTGGTCGCTTCCTGCTTGTCTTCATGAGCTGGCAAGTGGGACACGATGCCACGTGTCGTTGCACGTCAGTCAACATTTCTGGCCAGTAGTAGTACCGCTGCAGCTGCTGCCGTGTTTTTTCTGTGAAACTAACTGAACAGGAATCAATTGACTAAGTCAGAGTTGGGTACAAATACAACCCTAGCAAACTGTACCCCATATGTGCTACCCCACTATAGCCTACAAACATGCATCAGCTATAATAATCTGACACACCCCCATAGGCAAAGTGGGGGAGAACAAGGGGTCACAAGACCAGTCAAGCAAAGCAAAGCAAGCTCAGGGTGGATCACAAAGTCACCACACAGTCCGAGCACAAGAGCAAGGCCAGAGGCCAGTTCACATGCAGGAGTACAGACATATATAAAACTAGACAAGCAAGAGCAGGTATATATATGTCAAAGTACAAGTAAAGTCAAGAAGAGAGCAAGTGAGGCAAGACAGGTACAAGACCCAGCTGGGTACAAAAGCGCTGATGGTCGCAAGGCGCAAGTGCCTTGGTGAACACATCAGCAGTGTTGGCCTCAGAGGCCACGTAAGCAAGTCGCAACTGACCACGCTGCTGCAGCTCACGAGCAAGGAAGTAGCGGAGAGCAATGTGCTTCGTTCTGTGCTCCAAGCGCTGCTCTCGACACAAGGCCAACATGGCCTTGTTGTCTACGTACAGCACTGGAGGAGAACGAGGCAGCTCTCCAAGGTCAGTCAGCAGGTAGGTGAGCCAGCGAAGCTCCTGTGCAGCCATGGCCCCGGCGTAGATCTCAGCCTCACAACTGGAGCCGAGAACCGAAGACGAGCGAGTAGACCGCCACGAGACAGAGCCGGAACCAAGGCTGAAGGTGTAACCCTGTGACGACCGCTGCGTAGCCTGGTCGTCAGCCCAAGAAGCGTCTGCGTGCCCAGTAAGGACCACTGGACTCCGCCCTCCAAGCACTAGCCCCATGCCCGACGTACTGCACAGGTAGCGCAATACCCTCTTCGCTGCAGCCATGTGCTCTGGTCGGTGTCTCCCAGGAGCAACATAGCGTGCAAGGATGCTCAGAGGGTATGCAAGGTCAGGTCGTGTGCAGGTCATCAGGTACATGAGGCAGCCAACAAGCTCTGCATACGGACCACTCGACTCTACGGACTCATCCGAAGGCAGAGCTGAGAGTGAGTGGCGAGTAGGCAGAGGAGTGGCCTGAGGCGAGGAGTACGTGAAGCCGAAGCGCTGAAGGACCTGCTGCACCATGTGTGACTGAGTCAGGGTAATGGTGCGGCGTGCTCTGTCCCGAGTGATCTGCAAGCCAAGGTAGCTGCGCAGTTCACCCAGGTCTGTGCACGTGTGTCTCTTCAGCAGCTCGGACTTCACGTAGGCGAGTCCAGCAGTGTCCGCTGTGGCAAAGACCAAGTCGTCGACGTACACGAGGATGTAGAACGGCGGCAGGGAAGTGTCGGTGCGAAGAAACAGCGACGGGTCAGCAGTAGAAGGAGCAAACCCAAGAGCCGCAAGCGTAGTCCTCAGTGTGTCGTGCCACTCACGCGGTGCCTGGCGGAGACCGTAGACTGGCCGTCGGAGGCTCCACTGGGTGCCAGGAGGGAAAGTCCCAGTGAAGCCAGGCGGACGGCGCAGCCAGATCTCCTCGTGCAGGCTACCCTGCAGGAACGCAGTGCTGAAGTCGAGAGAGTGAAGCTCGTAGTCGCGCTGAGCGGCAATGTGCAGCAGCACCCGAAGAGTGGTCATCTTCGGGGTGGGAGAGAAGGTCTGAAAGTAGTCAACTCCCTGCCGCTGACTGAAGCCACGAGCCACGTAACGCGCCTTGAAGACAGGCGGCGAGCCCGGCGGCCGCTTCACCCTGAAGATCCACATGCCACTGACGATGTTCGCCCCAGGAGGGGGAACCGCGTCAACGTAGGTGCCTGTGGACTTCCAGGAAGCCATCTCTGCATCCATAGCTGCCTGCCACTGAGAGGAGTAGGGACCCTCTACGGCCTCCGCGTAAGAACGCGGAGTCGGGATGTCTAGTGCATCCGGGTCTCCCTCAGGGGCTAGCAGTACAGACGCGAGACGAGGTGAAGCAGCGGCTAGACACTGGAACTCCTCCTGCCTGTCCTCTAGGACGTCCGTGCCAAGGGCACACTCACCCCCGACGGACGGAGGACAGGCGGACTCAGACTCAGCGACAAGACGAGCAGCGTAGTCTAGACGACAGCGCGCAGCAAAGTCGACAAGCTCAGTGACAAGGGCAGACGCAGCAGACGACTCGAAGGAAGGGTCAGTGACAGCAGTAGCAAGGAGACGCGTGACAGTAGGACTGGCAGCACGAAGAGAGTCCGACTCCGGGTCGGCAAGAGCAGGAAGAGAGGAAGCAGGAGGAGAAGGCAAAGGGGCACGCAGAGGAGCAGTGGACGGACGCAGTGACATCCGGTGCGTCCCAGGGACAGGAGGAGGACGCTGACGCGACCCGCGACCACTAGCGCGCTCAGTACGAACAGGCGACGCAGGACGAGACGCAGGCTCACGACGCTCAGTAAGGCCTCCAGTCGGACCAGCGTAGGGAGAAGGAGCAGGCAAAGGGGAGGCAGGCTCTAGCTGTGGCTGTGACCGGACAGGCTGCGGACCCTCTAAGGGAGGAGGAGGAGGAGCAAGACCAAGAACCTGCTCCAGGAGCGGAACGAAGTACGGTCGAGACCGCGCGGCGACGCCAGAAACAGCAGGAACAGAACCAGCAGCTCCGGCCGGAGCACCCACTCCAGCAGCACCTCCAGCAGAACCACCAGAAGCTCCAGAACCTCCAGCAGCAGCACCAGGAGCACCGTCAGTCGGACCACCAACCGCAGGCTCAGCGCCAACGTCCTCAGCAGGACCAGCTCCAGGAGAACCCTCAGACCCAGCAGCTCCAGCACCCACAGGACGAGCACCGCCAGGTCGCGTGGCAGCAGCGCCCTCCGCAGCCGAAGAACCACCAGCACCAGCGGCACGCCTCCAGCGCCGGGCAAACCACTCACGCAGCTCCTGTGGAGAGAGCGGCTCCCGGCGAGACGAAGCACCCCCAGGCACAGCACCTCCAGGCTCGGCACCTCCAGGCTCAGCACCCCCAGGCTCAGCACCCCCAGGCTCAGTACCCCCAGACACAGCACCCCCAGGCACAGCACCCCCAGGCTCAGCACCCCCAGGCACAGCACCCCCAGGCTCAGCACCCCCAGGCCCAGCACCCCCAGACTCCGCACCCCCAGGCTCAGCACCCCCAGGCTCAGCACCCCTAGACTTCGCACCCCCAGGCTCAGCTCCCGCAGCAGCACCGGAGTCAC